CAGCGATGGCGTGGTGCCAGGACCAGGACCAGGACCTTAACCCAAGCTCGAACCCCGACCAGTCACCAGGACATTTGGCATGTCAACATAATTGCCTCGAATTAACTTTTTGTTTTTGCTTCCCAAAGCCCGTATATAGTACGTATACCAGCGACAACGTTTCTGGAACTGCTGCCCACTCAACTGGATGTGTGTGTTCCGTTGCTGTTTTTGTTTTTGCTTTTGTTTGTGCGAGCTGGAGCTGGAGCTGGACGACAGTTTTACATGCGCAAAATAATTTGGCTCTGACAAAAGTTTGATCACATTTTTTGGCCAGCCCTTGTTCGAGTCTCTCGGCCCTGCCCTGCTGTGTGTTGCCCTTTGTGCGTTGATTTATGCTGCAAAATTAAATGCCAGCACCACAGTTGTTGGCGTTCGCTAATTTAATTAGCGGCTTTCGTGTGTCTCCCTTTTGCAAATAGTTGGAAAGCGGTATTTGGCCGGCTGCAGTCGAGATGCCAGTGCAATGTTTTCCCCGACAAATAAGCTCTTCATTTTGGCTACTGGCGCGACGGATGCCAAAATATTTGTGGTGCGCATGGGTGACGGACTCAAAAGAGGGCCAGATTGTTACAGAGAATATAGAATCGGATGTCTCCGTGCAGAACCCACATATATTGCGTATCTGTATCCTTCTTTCCATTGAGTACTCGTATTGTTAATGAATTCCATTTCGTATTATCCATTCACTGTCTTACGTTTGACATTATCGATTGGCTTTCCTCTCTGTGAGCGCAACTTTCCATTTTGTGCTCTTTAATGAACGAATTTCGATTCGCAGCCATTTCCAGAAATTCATTTATTGGTCAGTTTTTTTTAATAAAGCCCCGCGCATACACAATGCCAGTACGAGTATGCACATGTATGTAGAGTCCTATCATGCGTCCAACAGACACGACACAGACCCAACTACAGAGACAGCGACAACGACAACGACGGCGATGCGACGACGACGACGAGGACGGCTCAGCTGCCCGGACCCGTGTGCTGATTAAAACTGATTTATTGCTTTAAATGCAATTTACATAAAAATCAGACAGTAAGTTTGGGCTGAAAATGTGGAGCAATGGGGAAAAACGGAACGCTTTTGAATACGTAAGTTGTAAATATTGCGCAAGTGAGTGAAAATGTTGTAAACCAATCCAAATATGAACGCATGAAATACAGGCTATGCAGGAGTTTTACCCACAAATATATTCCACAAAGATTCGAAAGAGATAATGAGATTTTCTCAGTTTTAGGGAGAATAAATTACACCTTAATATATTGACCTTTCGAAGGACTCTTATAAGATGCCAAACTGATCCTTAGACGAATCTATTGGATGACCACGTTGCACATGAAACTCCTCGGGTTCACTACCTTTGGCAGCTGGATTATAGTGATGCGTTGCATTTAATTGCATAAATTACTTCGATTCCAAATTTTGTAGTCCTTGGATGGCGCTGCGCAATTTTCGGATGCCGCAGAGGGAGCCGAAACAGAAAAAAAAAAGTGACGGCTTCTGCGGCTGGCCGCATATGTGGGCCAACTTAGTGGCAATAAGTTAAATTAGCATAAACTTAATTAGCATAAGAGTGTTGGGCCAACAGGGAGCTAGATAGAGACCAGGTGGGCGGGGGGTTATGTTGCAGCGTGGCTGCGGCAGATACAGACGCTCTCTGGTGCACCCACCAACCCACCCCTTTGCATATTTCACAGCAAATCCGCAGCGCATTAAAAGAAAATACGTGGCGGGGAAAAAAGTGGAAAATAAAATGCACAGCTAAACAATGGCAGCGCGCTTTCCCAGTTCCCAGTTCCCAGCTCCCAGTTACGAGTTGCGAGTCTGGGGATTGTGCCAATGAAGTAACGACCCGACCGCACACACTCTGCTTTAGCGATGTGGGGGATGTGGCTTGGATGTGGATGGGCTAAGGGTACGCTAAGTGACTGCTGTTACACATTTAGCGGAGGCTGATGGGATTGCCGGGTGATATGGAGACACAGATACAGCTAAAGCTAAAGCTACAGATACGGATACAGATACAGGTACAGGTACAGCCGCAGTTAGAGGCGAGCATGCCATGGACGCTGCTGGCACTTTCACATGAACAAATGTACACGACTTGCTCTCCTACCTGGCGCTTGATCCCCAGAGCGAACAACGCGACAAGATAAAAGCTGCCATACTAAATCTGCTGTATGTGCGCCCAGGGACGCGCGGGACCAGCTCAGCCAAACATCCGCTGCAGTTCCCCGACTGTTTCTTTGGCTCGGGCAACGCTGCGTATGAGCAATGCTCTGGCCCTGGCCTGGCCTGGCATATGCAAAATAATGCGCACACTACTCTTATGCTCGCTGGATTCACTTAGTCCAAGTGAATCTCACAAAAATTATACGTACAAGTATATCTGAATGCGAAGGCGCATTTCGTTCTGATTTTCCGACAAATTAGTATTTATGATAGCTGGAAAGTAGATTGTGGAATGAGGTGGGATGGGATGGGATGGGTACTTGGGATAATGCTCAAATAATTGCACACCTTTGGATTGCACGGCTTGAGCCGCAATAAATCATCGACCGTATCTGATTCGGATGCATATTCCATACACACAGCATATACACAGCAATTCCAATAAATTGCACGAAATACGAAGGCCCAGCATTAATGCAACCATTATTTAACAATTTTTGTTTTACTTTTTATCGGCGGCAGGGGCAGGCCTGAAGAGGCCAAAGTTAATTTCAGAGAACACTTTACGTGGTGCAATTTGGAGAGTCAGTTGCATTCAGACCCCGGACAGGACCGGACCGGACCAGCAACACATTTGGTAAGCAATAAATTGACCAAGCAGCCAACGCCATCATCTACTTTAAAAGCATTTGTTGCCCCACCCAATCCGGGCACTCCACCTCCAGCCACCGTTCGTGCCACTAGCAGAGATCCACCCGGGATGGTCATAGCCTCTCCCCTCCCCTCCCCTCCCCCCCCTCCCCAACCATTTGGCAGCCCGCAACACTCGAAGCGGCGACGACGCTAAAAAGATACCGGAAATGTTACAGGAAACAAAATGACTTAATGGCCGCGATTGCCACGGCATGGAATCGTTTCAGACATCGTCCTCTGGTCTTCTGGTCCTCTGGTCCTTGCTCGTTGCTCCTTGGTCCATGGTCCATGGTCCATGGTCCATGGCCTGCTGGCCATGCTGGCCATTCATTGCAGTTGCCGAGGTCAGCATAAAAGCATAATGGAAAGGTTATCGCTGCTATGGCATGACTGCTATGCTCTTTCACAAATCGAAATATTAAATATGTACATCATTTATATTCTTATTGAGAGTTGTTGCCAGAAGAGAGTTTCAATTTGATGCTGTTTTAATTTCAATATTTGATTAAGCCCATGCCAAAGCAGGTGAGGAATTCAATGTGCCTCAACGGCCAGCATCTATAAAAGTCCTATCGTTCAATGAACCGCTGGCAGCCGCCTTTGAATGAAACCGATGATGAGCCACCAAATGAGCAAGTTACGGGCTCTGGCTGTCCCGTGCATACCCAGCCACCGCTCAACCACGTAGACGTAATTGCACTGGCCACATAATTATCATAAGCTACACTGGGCTGCATAATATGGAAACGATTTTGAGGTTTGAATTTCTTTTGTGCCCAAACATATTTCTAATTAAATTAATTAAGCGAAGCGAGAATGTGGCAAGTATGCCAGCCAATTAGTGGAAAATGCAAAATTAAATGTCTGCTTTGGCTGTCTGCACAGGGTGCGAGGAGGTAGACAGACAGAGAGTGCTGTGGGTGGCAGGGGCAGGGACAGGGACAGGGACAAGGCAGGACCATCTGGCACAGTCGACTTATGGTCGGTGCTGCTGCTGCTGGTGCTGGTGCTGCCCCACGTTTGTCGTTCCTTGTCCACTCGCAGAGCGGAGCTCTTTGTTGGCCTCCTCCGCTCCGGCAATAATTGCGTTTAGACATGTAAGCTTTTGTTATACGGTCATGCGTGTGTTTGTGTGTGTATGGGTATCTGTGTGCGCCAGCGTATCTGTGTGACAAAGTTAATGACAGCATAATTAAACAAAACTAACAGCAGACTAATAAAATGTATATACTGCATGTCGCTCAAGGCCTTGCCACCTCTCTCGCTCTCGCTCTATCTTTGCATCTATCTCTCTCTCTCTCTCTCTCTCTTCTTCTTAAACGTTCTTCGCCTCTGTGTGTGTGTCGACGTTTGTCAAGCGACAATTAAAGTCATAATAAAAGCAGACAATCATTATACCTGTCCTTCTCCACCTGCCCCAAAAGGCCACCTTCCTCTCCCTCTCCCTCTCCCTCTCCCACGTTCTTTCGCCCACTCTGCTTTCGGTTAGTTATGCATAAAGTTCAGCACAAAAGGGTACAACCCGAGCGTAAACATGACGTTGATGGTCGCCCCCGCGTCGTTCCCTTTGTTTTGCAGGCATATAAATTTCAAAATTAAAGCAAAGTTTAACCTTTGCCTTTGTCACCGAAGGATATGTGGGTGTGTGTGTGCGTGTGTGTGTGTTGATACATAAAGGAATGTGTGCTGAACCCGCATCAAAGCAGTTGGTCAGCTCGCAATTCGCGTTATCGAATAATTTGCTTATTCAATTTAAAAATTACAGCAATTAAAATTAGTCCATTCGATTATTGTGGATCTCAAATGTGTCCCATATATGTATATATACGAAAGAATCACTCAAAAACTCCATTCATACTCATCTATATATGTCTGATTTGATATGATATATATCCGTTATATCATTAGCCAACCCGCATGCACTTTCACGCGTTGCACGTCAGCATGGGCAAGCAGCTGCTCAAATATTAACTAACTAAATAGATTTAAACTAATTAAATAGATGTAATCTTTAATCCAATATTGAATTAGTAGACGGCAATCCCATTGACCAAGCTCCCAGAAATGGTATAAAATGTCGGAGAACTGTCGGTAAGAGAGTTTCATTTGGCCAACAGTCGATCGAGAAGATGCATTTGAACAAGACAACGCTACTCTTGCTCGTCCTAACCGTCAGCGCTGGATGTGTTCTGGCCAAGCCGGAGCCATTCCTCCTTGAGGGGCTGTGGGACCAATTGGGGAATGCGAGCCAGCACATCGTCGACGGTATCATTGGTGTCGGGAAGAATGGATCGGCCATTGCTGAGGACTTCTTGGATAGCCTGAAGAACTCCACCAGTCAGTTCGCCCAGGATGCTGCCAATTTTGGAGAACAGCTCGCCCAAGCTCTCCACAAGGCAGTCGCTGATACGCTCTCAGGCTTCTCCTCGAACGTGCAGGCTGCGCTGCAGAATCTGCGTGGTGGTATACGGAAGGTGTCCGACCGAGTTAGGCGCAACGCCCTGCAACAGGCCCTGAAAACTCTCGAAAGACTCAATGCCTCGGCCGTAGAGCTGGAGGCCTCAATTGCCGAAATTAACGAGCAGCTGGAAGAGCAGAGGCAGAAGTATGCCGGGGAAATCAAGGAGCAGTGGAACGACTGGGCAGCCGAACAGCTGGAGCGCGTCGATGAGCAGACCAACGGTAGTGGCAACGCCGAGGCCGAGGACATCATCAACGAGTTGCAGAATCGCTATACGGCCTATCTGCACAGCTGCCTGGAGGAGTTGCAAGCTCGCCAGGGCCAGTACGAGCAGAAGGTCCACGAAACCATCACTCAGTTCCAAAACGCCACCAACGATCTGGTTGGACAAATCAATATCTGCCTGAAGCGCACTTCCGGAAGCATCTCATGCCGCAGGGGCATCAATAAGGCCCTCAACCAGCTAAGGGATGCACCCAAAGCACTACTCAGCCTAAAGCTGCAGGGCTTGCAACTACTGGGCGTGGGTCTCGATGCCAGTAACTGTGTAGGCCAGACCGTGGCCGAATATGCTCTTGAAAAGCCCAGTGTGCTGCGCCAGCTGGAGGAGATCATTGAGCGCTATCAGGAATCTTCCTCCGATAAGAGCTCTTCTTCCGAAGACAGCTCTTCCTCCGATGAGAGCTCTTCCTCCGACGAGAGCTCTTCCTCCGAAGATGACACTTCCACCGAAGTGATAACAACCACTACATAACTACGTGTAAATATTAGCTGGTGTGGGGTATAGCTGCAAAATAATAAAAATCACTTTCAATGCAATACATTTTGCTGAAGTTTTTTCATGCTTAAATGTATTCTCCAGCTGATTTCTGTTTTATTCGAATATAACCATTACAAGGAGAAAGTATATCAAACAAAAATGGTCCCACATTTAAAGCAGAAGCCAAATACATATAACAAGTGATACCTCTTCATGCAGGCACAAGAACGATCAAAAGACATGTCCCACACCTGCAGCTAAACGTAAGAATAACGATGGTATGGCAGTGTCAGCTAGCGATTAACTTCATCAAAGGATCCACACATTTTTGTGTGGTCTGCTTACGCATTCAATTTAATTGCAATTATGATGTCATTTGGCATTGGCCGCCTTGCCACTGGACACGAAATGTGCAATTTTTGCGCTGACCCAAGCGCAACGTGCATCGCCTTTTTAAGTGCAAATTCAGTGACGCCATTGAACCAGGAGTCAGGCAGTGGGGATGGTGGGCGATGGTGGTCGATGGTCGGGAGTCAAGAGTCAGGAGTCAGCTCGGCCATTTCGCCAATCGCGACCATTAAGTCATTTTGTTTCCTGTTACATTTCCGGTATCTTTTTAGCATCGTCGTCGCTTGAATCTGGCCGGGAGCTTTTTGGAGTTCTACTGGAGTATGGCTGTGTGTATTGGGAGGCAGCCAGCAATTTATTGCTCAGCAATCCTGGGACTGTACTCATAATGCACTTAATTTTCAACTTATTTATTTAATTATTTTCCTATTAATATTTGCAAATGCAACTGTGTTGCCACATGTGTTCATTGTGTGGTGCCTATAACTCTAGCTTCGTATATTGTTACTCTTCTGATTATAAAATGTGTTTACTGATTGGCCAGACGACGACAATATTGAATCAAGTCAAATAATTCTCATAATACTTTTAACTATAAAAGAAGCTAATTGAAACAGTTGTTATGGACGCATAAAAACGGAAAATGCACTCAACTCAAGTCAGATAGGTATGTACACTCAGAGCATTTCTCCTTTTTATAGATTTAATTGCAGAATGAATTCTTGGGTTCCCCTAAAAGTAATTTTCGACCTTCGGATATACTCATATTATTTCTCCTTTTTATAGTTAAATGTTTCGAATGAATATAGCGCCATGTAACGGTGTTAAAAGTGCTATATCAAGTATCGTGTTCATAAAGTTTTAGCTACAAAATAACTGTTCTAACAGTAACTCTGCTTATATTTGCTATAAAATCTTGGGGATTTAGTTCGAGAAATAGCCACCGAGGCGCCACTACTTTTATACATCAGCCATAATAATTTCCTTTACTTGCAACTTATATTGCGTATACGTAACATCCCCTTGGGGACAAACTCAGATTGCCTTGTTGTATTTCTGTTTATTTACGTTATGGTAATCGAATACATAATACCCACTAGTTATTGGGGTTTTTTTAATTTATTTACTTAACAACTAGATACACTGTATTTTTTATAATTAGTTGTGGAATTCGTTCATTTAGTATCTTATACTCATAGATGTCACTGCGCGCCTAAGCCAAACAAACCGAGGTGTACCATAAAGTTCGAAGCATTGAAAATTCGTTTCAGTTGTGTAGTTTGCCTTACCTAATTTGATTATGGATAGCACTAGACTAGGGATTAGCAAAAGTGGCCTAAACTATCATCAACCCATCGACTCAGAGTCTATGCGCTTAGCTTAGCTCAGAGGAAGTATCCCCCATATCGGCTTGCAACTAAAATGCCTTCCTACTCGTACAACTAACAGTTCATAGGGAGTTCATATTCTGTTCATACTCGTATCTATATCTAAGTATAAGTAGTTTTGTGCACTAGTACTCGCTTAGCACGAATTAATGGTTAAGATCTTATGTATTTCTCTTTAGGAATTATCTGAATTTAGCATAGGAATAATTTTGCATTAGTAGTACCAAAATCACCAAAATATTTCACCAAAGTATTAGACAACATAAAGTCTCATTGTTATTTGTTGTTTGTTGATTTTCGTTTCATAAGGTTCATAAGTTGCAAGTTGTTCATTGTGCCCAGAGTAATGAAACGTGGGGATGGGAGTTGGAGTTGCTTCTAATATCATGTCTATCCATAATACAACCAAATGAAATTTATCTTAGTGCTTACCAATTAGTTCTCAGTATATGTGGATTGGAGTCTTCTATCAAGCTTCTATGTAAAATACAGCTTACATCAAATTGTACGATTCATTGTACATATAGGGACTGGTATGTGTATGTATATACGGGGTACGTTGTATATATTTATCTATATATAATTTCCACCTTTAAAGCCATTGCTTTGGTTGAACTTAATTCTGAAGCGGATTTCCTTTTCTTTTTAAGGTGAGCAAAACATCTTTCAGAAGGGGGTCGATGTTGATTGCGTTATTGAGCATGTTGGCAATGGATAAATGTGGTCAGACAACCGCACTGAAGCACAACCAAAATGGACTCCCAGACTCCACCCATTGGCACAGAAACGAAAGCACGGACTGCGGTTAAATGTTGCCAGTGCAGTCCCTCACTCATTGATACTCCACCCTGGCCACGGGCAACCCAAAATCGTTGACTTCGAATACGATCAGCTTTCGTTTCTTGCGCACATTGGACGACTGGTGATGCGGTTGCTTCAGGGGTGCCGCTGCCGTGGTCCCTGTTGTGCTGCTCGTCGAGATTGGCACTGGCACTGGCTCTGGGATCGGTTTCTCTTTCCTCACTTCCGCTCTCTTCGTTGTCGTTGTTGTCGTCGTCCTTTTTGTCGTTGTAGTCGTTGTGGTTCTGGTTGTGGATCCCGCGGGTGGGGCCTTGCTTGGCTTCGTTGTTGCGCTCTCTTGAGCCCGGGCCTGATGCAGTATCTGATGCAGTGCCTTTGGCTTCTCGTTGGGCTGCATCTCGGGCTGTGCATCGGCCTCTTTGGGTCTGGGCTGTGGCATCGTTGGCAGTGCTGGCAGATCGCAGCGCTGACGCAGATGGCGGTACACGGTCTCCACCCGCTGCACCAGGCGGTTCACATACTTGGAGGTCGTACGATCTACCACGGATGGGGCTTTAATGCAGTCATTGCCACCGAACTCGCACACCTTAAATTCAAGCGAAGAACATACCGATATTTAAATCAAATGGGGGAGAATATACATACTCATTTGATTGAACTTACACGATAATGCTGCAAAATGGCCTCCTTGGGGGGCACATTGAGGGATACCTGGCCTGGTGAGAACTCCCACACAAAATGATTGCCCGCCTCGACCACGGCCTCTGGCTTGCAGATGTACTTGGATCGTTGCTTTTGTGGATGCAGCTTAAAGCGCCTGTGGAACACACACAAATAAACACAACTCTGATTCTTCGTACTCCTCAGGGGATTACTAACCTGCGCGTCTTGCGTTGGGTTACCAGCGATGCCCGTACATTGGCGAGCTGTTCATTGCCTCCCACGATTCCGGAACTGGCCAGCGGATCGTCGGTGAACTGAAGGTAGTAGAAGGCATTTTGGAAGGAATAGGCTCCGGTGTTGCGGTTGCGAAAGCGTTGATTCAGGGAGCTGAAAGGAATCGGCAACAGCGATGAGAACAGACGGCGACAACAATTTGGGTGCGTGCCAACTCACCCAATGAGCTCGTTGAGGGTGTCCGAGTAGCGCGGCACAATAAACTCATCCAGATCCACGAGAGCCAGATACTTGTATCGGTACATGGTGCGGTAGAGGCAGTCGTTGAGGGCCGCGAACAGGCCTTCGGTGCGGATCTCCTTCTGACTGCGCATGCGCAGATTCCACGGCAGAATGCTGACCGTGGGCCGTTGGTAGTGCAGCGATTTGAACACTTTTGGCGTGGCATTGTTCGCCAGGCTCGCCGGCTCCATATCGAAGGCGGTCAGGTTCCCAGGCACCAGGCCCTGCTGATAGCTCTGCAATACGCAGGAGGCGTGCGGTCCCAGAGTGTGATTGTAGAAGGTGAAGTGCGAGACTCCGAGCAGGGCGTAGAACTCCAGGTACTCCATCAGATACAGCGCCTTGTCGTAGTTAAAATGGAAAGGCTTCACGCAGACGGCTATGCGGTCGGGTATATTATCGCCGCTGGGCGGCGCCCGAGGCGGCACATTTCCCCTTTTGCTGTCGCCAGTGCCGCTCGCATTACGCTGATGCGGTGGAAAGTCCCGATCCTGATCAGTGTTGCGAAGTGTAAGCAGATTGCCAGGCGGCGCCCGAAGCCGGGACACGACGCTCACATACCGTGGTGCATCCAGGGGTGGGGCTCGCACCGGGCAGAGGATGAAGCAGGCGCTGTACTTCAGGTTCCAGTTCTCACGTATGATCTGCGATTCAATGTTTCAATGCCAAATAAATTTAGACTTTTCATAAATTAAAACAAAACCGTTTTTCATTCTATTAATCTTAAATTAGTTTTAGACCGTTTCTGGTAAGATTTAAAATTAATTTCAGCCTCTTTGTTAGCTTCTTTGAGTTGCCAGGAACCCTGTATATGAGGACTTTTAGAGGAAACGTCTTGGACTCACCTTGACGCGGGCCATCACTGTGGCTGAGTTATATTTGGCACGGGATGCGGATGCCCCTGGCTCAGTGCCGTTGGCGGGGGGCGGACCGAACCAGAATCGGCACCAGACACGTTCTGGACCACGTGTCTTTGTGGCACCGACAATGCGCACCAGACGTGCTCCCTCGCGCCGATCAAAGTAGGCGGAGTACACAAAGAACTTGAAGCGGGTGCCGTTGACAATTTGCCAGGCACCATCGCTGGGCGCCGTGCCAAATGGAAAGTGGGGCAGCGTCTCCTCCACCTTGTCGGGCAGCATCTGGCCCCAGGGTATAAGCGGGACATTCACACCAAATGCACCCACTCCAGTGCCGCCGCCAGGTCCAGGTCCAGGTCCATGTCCAGCTGCAGCTCCAACTCTGGCGCCATTGAGCAGCATGCCGGCCGAGCGTTGACCATCGGCGCCTGCGGCTTCTGTGAAAATTGCGAAATGCATGAGACATGCGGCGTATACGTAATGGCCCCTTTTGTCATCTCATCTCATCTCCTTTGCAATCGAATGCTCCTCAAATTGCATTATGCTCGCTGAACGATTTCGACCGGGCCATTGTGTCAATGATTGCTTTGGGAAGGCAGGCAGGGATGCTGTGCGGATGCGGATGCGGATACTTTGGCTTCTACTTACCTTGAATTTTTAGTTTATTGTCACGAAGCTGTACAAAACCTAACTTATTATCACTCAGAATGCTGTCATCCAGTAGATCGTAGTCTTCCTGCAAATGAAAAAAAAATCCAAGGGAAAAATAATTCATTTCCTTTGATGCAAAGAATGGCAAAGAACGCTGCGCATTCGGCGAGAAGCACTTCGATACAATTTCGATAAGGTTTTTGTGTAATTTAATGTATGTACACATGTATGTATGTACATTTGAAAGTATAACAGCAGCACATTTATTTGGCTTAGAGGTGTCAATTCCATGTCAATTAACTACTGGAAATACCATTTAATAATACAAATAAATATAAAGATAGTAATAAATGTATGTAGATTGATAGACAGGTGGATAAAAGTATAGCTTACTCGCTTAATTCATTTAATTACCAAAAATTAATATTTTCTTATATACAATATATGTACATATAGATATGTACGACACATGAGAATTGCATAGAAAAGCATCACATTTAATTGATACGTGTGTATGTATACCTTTTCTATGCTCATTATCGCCTGTACTCCCCCTTCTGCCTCATCCATTATGGAACATTATTGCACTCACGCTACCTGCGTTGGGTGGAGAGAGAATCATAGATAAGACATTGCGATGTTCTCATCTCAGTTGCCATTCCATAAAGTTTTGTCCTCTGGGCGGCAAAATATGCGCAAATTTAAGGGCCATACCGAAGCGGTTGAAGTGCTAATTGTGGCACCCATAGATTCGTATTAAAAATGCAAATCCCTTTGCCCGGCCAGCCAGCTAAAAAATATGCGCCAGAATTGGCATATTCCGGCAAAAACATCTTTTGTGTTCCCACAGCCTTCACTGCTTAACTGCTGAACAAGTGCAGGCTTTTGCAGCCATAGCAGATTTGCATAGAAAAACTTACCTTAACATTATCATAATCGGGCATCGAGTCGCCCATTCGTCCGAGCAGGCCGCCACCGCCACCGACCTGCCGTGTGCCGCTGTGCATGCGGTCGTCGATCATGAAGACCTGCAACGAAACGGAGACAAAGGCACAGAATATGCAATATGGAAATGTTTACTGTGGCTAAAAATTTGAATTTCAAGTTAATTTCCTCAGCTCCCAAACTCCCCCACCCTCACTCACATAATGAAGCCCTCAGCTGAATATTAAATTTAAGTTAATTTTACACTTTTCCTCCCATTTGATAATATTTAAGTTGCATAGCTGCATAGCAGGCGGAAAGCTGTTGGATTATAAATATATAACTACACGATATCAGTCCTATAAAAATGGGGTATCGGGAGATTAAAACCATTAGTCGACTAGCAGTTAGTGGTCGGAAAAGAAACGAGTTCGCTAGCGGATAAATATTTTAAAATCAAGAGTCCTATACATACGATCATATGTTAATCTAGAGCTCACTCACCTCGGTCAAGATGATCAGCCCGAAGACGGCAAAGAAGGTAATGACAATGAGGAAACTCATGCCGGATCGCTCCCTGGTGCCCCACTGCTTCTTGCCCCGCTTCATTGTGGGTGTCAGTGAGGTGCGGCCACTGTGATGATGATGCTGCTGCTGATTCTGTTGCTGTCGCTGGGCTTGCTGCTGCTGCTGCTGCTGTTGCTGTTGCTGATGATGCTGATAGCAGGCGTGTGAGTGTCCTTGATGTTCGTAGGTTGTTTGATAATGGCCCAGCAAGGAGGCCGTAGAGCCCGAGGTGTTTACGGAGCTGGTGGAGCTGGCGGAGCTAACGGAGCCCCCCCTTGCCTGCTGCTTGTACTGAGGGGGGCTCCGGCTATTCAGCATATTATATTGGAGTGCAGGGAGCAGGGGTATTAGTTACAGCTTTCAGACAACAGTTTATTTTATTTTTAATTTCAATTTTACGATTTTATAGATATTTATTTTCTCTGTGCACTTTATGATGGCGATAAGCGATTGATGATTCGGTATTTATATTTATTTATTAATTTGTTTGTCATTTTATTTTATTTTATTTCCATTTCAATTTTCGTAAATAAGCTGGGAAATGATTCTCATATGTTTAACGGATAAGCGGAGCAAAACAAAAGTCCAAAAAGAAAAGCCTCTGAGAGCGAGGGAAATCCAGAGACAGACAGAGAGACAGAGAGAGTGGTGCGCTCTCTTGGTACTCGAACTTTTCCTCGTTGGCCAATTAGAAGTGAAAAATCAATAAAAATCTGTGCAAGGCTTTGCCCGAAACGATTCACCATGAAAGCACGGGACACAATCCCATTTGATTATTATAATTACTCTATTGGTGGTTCGGATTGATCTCTATGCGATGATTTATGTACATTGCTCCCCAGGTGATCTTCCGGCAGATGCACACTTCAACTTTCATCACCTTTGTACAGCATTCCACTCGGCACTTAACCTGCGCTGCCAGGACAAATTTTCGTTTCACTTTACCCTGGCAACCGATTTCGATATGCACTTAACAATTTCTTTGGCCAATAACTTTTTATACAAATAATGGCCTACACCGATTTCCCGAAAAAAGTCCAAAATATTTAACACTCGGCAAAAGCAGCAGGAAAACAATGCGGCACCAGCTGAGCACCACAGCTCCAAGGACATGCGCACAGGACATTGTCAGAGGGAAGCAGCTGTTCGAGGGCATGCGTTGCCAGACCTACCCACCATCTAGAATAGAACAAATCGAATTAACGGAAACTTAGTCCTACATTTAGTTGATGGAAACATTACATGAGGAGCAAAGAAGAGAACGGTCTCCCGTGCTCTGCCTAGAACCATTCACCAATTCACATATCTAAATGCTTCCTTTACCTTTATTATACATTTTAGGAAACAGTATTCTCAGTCGAAAAACCCACCAATTATTTTCAGCAAAATTAAATCCATTAAGTCCATATACTTAGGCCAACGATGAAGCACATTCCCTGGCCACACACTCGCTTGTACTCGGCACCACAGAAAGTGCTTCAATTCGATGGCTTCTTTCATTTCCGGTGCAACTTTGTGGCTGAAGAGTGGGTCCATCCCACACGGCATCTCATGGCTGGCAACTAAATATTTCTGCTCAAGCCCTGGCTGGACAAAAGAAATTAGCGGAAACAATAAACTTTCGCAAACTTTTTGAAAACCAATAAATTCAAAGTGTTTGGAAATCAATTGGGAACAAATTGCAACAGGCAAAAGCGACCAGCTAGAAAATCGGACAAAAGAGAAGCGAGCATATACATACATACATATGTACATATATGTACATATACTATGTGTGAATATATGTATGCGGATATCGAGTACGACCTCCGCCCATTATCCCTCTGTGTGCATCTCTCCATTTGTGTGAACATTTTAGCCAAGCAATCGAAAAGTTTGCAAAACAAATATGCAAAGAAAAAGGTGCTCGAAGAACCAGCGGGAAAAACAGTTTTGTTTGCTAAACTTTTGTCATTGTATAGTCATCGTTGGGTTGCGAAGCTAACAATGGCACTGCACTCGCCAAAAATTCCCAGAAAAAGGAAAGGTGTCAGCAATGCAGCAGTCTCTGCACAGTGGATGATATTCCTGTGGATTAAGGACCAATGGAGATATGGTTTGGATATAAAAGACAGTATCTGACAGCATCTAACAGGACATCATTCCAATAAGAGTCGTTAAAACATAATTTAATAAGAGGCAATCATCAATTGAATCAATTAACAATGAAAAAAATGAGGGAAATATTCGAACTATTCACATTCAATTTCAGCACGAACCAACTAAGAGATTGGGTAAAGGACAAAAATGAGAATGTGGCAGTACCTTGGCAATACAAATAGCCAGAATGCACTTCAGTCTGCACCCCAACCCTAATCCTAGCCCACAAAGAGGCAGGCACTCGAATGCATTCGTCGTTGCACCTCAAGTGAGATTAAATAAAACTGCAACGAAATTGAAATGAAAATTCAGCAAGGCAAACAAATTCGGAAGGGAACAAGCTATTGCCAGCATCTATGAGATACATTCTCCTTCCTCTTGCTCAACGAAAATATATCATTTATATACATAGAATTCTCATACTTGTACGTATATTTGCCGGCAACTTTCCCGTTGAAGTGCCGTTGTGGCAGCTTAAGATACTGCCACTCCACACCAATCCCCAACCACCATCCTCCAGCCGCACTGCCCGGGCATAGGCAACTTAACTTTGATGAGTTTGCAAAGTAAAAAGTAGAAACGTGGATGGGTTACTCGTATATTGCCGAAGAGGGCCAAGTGCGGACTTATGTACCTGTGCCTCCAGCCTTCTGCCAGCTGCAGTTGAGTGCGTTTGAAATTATGATTAAAATAACGAAAACGACGAGGAGACATGGGCAAATATTAGCACGGATCTACCACTGTTTGATCTGATGTTAATTGAACGCTTAGAGGGACTACTGAACCCACAATCCATATTTCGATTCCAAGTCTTGACCCTAAAGTATAATAACTTATTTCTATGGGAAACTTTGCGTTATATTCTACAAAATTCTTACTCTACTAATGTAAAACAGACAGATATTTTCGATCCATAGAACCCCGAGCAATTATTTCCAACCGATTTTTAATTATCTTTTACTTTCCTGGTATCTATGGATAGCTGTTGGCATGCTTCGGGGCATTTCATTAATTTCACTTCATTTTGATGCTCTCCCTATCGTACGAATATGTGTGGGAAGTTGTGGACTAGGACGGGGCAGAGGCAGAGGCAGAGCACACGTAAGGGGATGGAGACAATGATGTCTGGAAATGGCTTGCCTTGCATCACTGCAGGCGCATATCTGCCGGATGCGCGGCTTGTTTGGTAATTTCCTTAACGGATGTGCATGCAGTTGCAGGAGCAGCCGCAGGATCTGCAGCTGCCAGCAGACGGAGCCAACAGTGGAGGGGCAGTGAGATGGTCAATGTTTGATAGTGTGTTGTTTAAGTATGTGGGAAAAATGTGTAAAAATGGCTTAAGCACAAAATTTGTTTGCCAAATTCCGGTTGCTACAAAATTGTGCATATATCCCGATTCGGTGCTCATGGAGCCCACAGCCTTTTCCAATTGATTAGACACTTGTGGGCAAACACCAAATCTCGAAATTCACCAAGCAAAGGCCACATCTTGTCCACTGGACGCTGGAGCCTGGATCCAAGTCGATTGGTAGGCAAATGTGAAACAAATCGTGGAGACCAAACACGCCCTGATCGACCCCTATTCGGTGGCCTTTAACTTCTCCAGTGCTGCTCTTCGACACTCTTCAAATGCACTCTGGGGACTTCTTTTCGTTTCGTTTCGTTTCGCCATAAATTAGGCAACAGATTTTTTCCACAGCCAGCCGTGTCAACGACAGGGAGTCCCCTTGAATCTGTCTGTCTCTCTGCCTGTCTCCAATGGGCATATACGAGTGCATTGCTGTAGCAAGAATATCCATGGGGGCCAGAGCAGAACCGACAAAATCCAATGGATGGGCAATTAATCTGCCCACGTCCGGGTGTCCCGCAGTTCGCTCAAAGTGCATTACAGTTTTTTTGTGCCACATTGGATTCAGCAGGGGACATTTCTGGTCCCCTTTTTAGCTCCAAATATTTCTAAAGAAATTATTTGATAACATGGATTAGCACCACATCGAGCGGGAGATACTCGTAAATATTTGATTGCTCTGGGATTGGTGGTCAGGCTGTTAAGTGGGGGCCCCCCAAACGGATGCACAATTAGGCTGAGTGCCTGGTTAGTTTTCTTCGTCTTCGTCTTCTTCAGAAAAGTTTTCTTCAAATTAGTGTGAAAAGAGGAAACGGAAGAGGTTGAGTAGGGGGGCTGCGTGGGGGGTGGTGCTATCAAATGCAGAGGCCACAAGTCTGAGACGATTTCGACATAAATTCAATAGAACGATGGCAATAAGTGCATTAGCAGCATATTTCACAGATTGGCAGACACGTCGCTAGATGTGGTCCTGTGGCCAACCGGAGAACCAACCAACCAGACCAGACCAGACCACACCATCACAGGACAGAACAGGACAGGACAGCAGCACAGACAGTTGCCATGCCAAGACCAAGAAGTAAGCCACAAATTGCATGAGATCATAAATATTTCAAGCATAAAGTACGAAATATGCAAAAGTTTTCTGCTTTCCTTTTCCCTTAGCGTCGGTGTTGCTCTCGATATTGCCAATGCCATTGCCATTGCCAGCCCCAGTGGCCAGTGCTCTGGCAGTTGCAGTTCGCCAGATACGAGGGACGTCAAACGAAATAAGAAAAATATATTGCTAAATTCTCGCACAGGAAACGGGAGCAGCAACAGCATCAGCATCAGCCAGCGGGTGGACAACGGGCAGAGCTCCGTTGTCCGTTGTCCGGCACGTGCACTACGCCCAAATGGCAAGCGGAAGTTCAAAAGAGCAAAGGACATGTAACGCTATTTCGCTATTCTTCTCTGCCGTTACTCCTGTTCTGTCCGCTTCGCGCAGTTTTGGCCAAGCGATTGCGGCAACAAATTTGCAATAAGCAATTTTTAAATTTTCAATTTGGGCAGCAAGGACAACAGCATCCCTTGGGTTGGATGAGGACATGCAAAACAGCAGCCACATATCGCCCGACACCATAATTCATCTGGAGTTGCCAAAAAGCCCGTTTCTGCCCAAAAGACACACACAGCAGGGTGTAACCAAACAATTCCGTGGCAGGTCTGGTTCAGCCAGATCACACCGTTAACACATTAACATTCAAATATGGCCATTAATGAACAATAAAATAGCTGAATTCGAACTATGTCTTAAAGAAGAATCCACACACTCGAACCGATTTCTAAAACAGGGAATTTAAAAGGTATACCAACCGTATTGCTGAGTCCTGTGATTTAATGGTGATCTCTAAGGGGCAGCTGCAGTTTCCGCACTTGAAATTCTGGTCTATCCACTGTCCACTGTCACCCCTGGATTGGGTTAAATATAACTTAACCTACAGTGACCCATTAAAGAGCTATAAATAGACCAGTCTGGGCTGGATAAGTGGGTGAGAATTGCATCTTCCTGCACAATACACCCTGCCGACAACACGTATACGTAATACGTATCTATTACCGAGCATTTGAATGCTGCGATGATGGACAGGGGATATGGAGGTGGATCAGCTGTGGACTAGTTCAACTTCTGCGTCATATCTTGGTGCACAATCGTCGCCTAAGTGCACCTAAATTGAATAAAATTTCGACAAGTTTTAGTACACAAGCACGAGGCAGGCATACAACACTCAGCGAGAAATTGGTGTGTAGACAGATTGGGATGTAGATGCAGATGCAGATGGAAGTGGGAATAGTTTCGAGACTGTTCGATAGACACACGACTTAAATGCGAGTCCATACAATAGACCTAGTCGCGCACTGTACGTATGTACATGTGTGCAAATTTGTTGCACAGACTTCATTGGCGGAGATTTACGCAACTTAAACAGATTGTCAACAACATTTGTGAAGGATGCAATGAGGTGGAAGAAGTATGTTTGGGGAAGGGGCTGGGACACGACATGCGTCAAATGTGTAGAAAGTAAACCTGTGTCCTGTGCCTGCTGCTGCCATGCAAACTTAATTTGTTGAATCATGTCCCAACACTTCGGAACAGATGTTATCCTCGAGGAAATGAATACTATTATTGTCGATTCCCAGCCTCCTACGAGTACGGCTATTGTTTCATTATACACATGTTCAATGTACATCCTCGTATCTCAAACTAGATGCCAATTTATGGACACAACACCCTCACATCCCGCCCCACTACAGCATTCAGTTTTGCGGTGTGAAAATTTCAATTATTGTGATATGAAAATTTATTATATCCCTTTGTTGAACGAATCGGAAGTTCATTTTGCGTTGATGGGAATAACATTATATTCATGTATGTACATATGTAACCAGGTAGCTATGTGATTTATACACCCCCAATGCTAAAAAGAATTGCTGTAATAAACGTGTAAATATGCAACTCATTTTTTAATCAGTGCTAAAATATTATTTCTATGTAAATTGGCCTAACACTCGCTCGAAGAGTTGATTAGAAATTCAACCTATGACAGGAAAAAAGGCTTCAGCTAGCCACCATTTATTCCGAAATTTACTCCACTTAAATAACTCATTCTCAATGATTTTCTGATCTACTCAGCTTTGAGCACAAATCAAAATTGAGTTGAGTCACCACTAGAGACTCTCTTGAGACCAAATCTATCACTCAACGTTAACTGCAAAGCGGCTAGAGCGACTCTCTTAGCTGCCTTTTGACTCCAGCACGCACTCCACTCCGTTTTTGTGGCTCTCTTAACTGCATTTTGGCTCCGGCACACACTCAACTCAGTTGTGAGTGGAGCATAATATTCATGGCTCATGCCAGCGACTCTCTTAACTGCAATTGGACTCCTGCAAGTCCCCTAACATGAGACAAAATAAAAAAGCAGATAAATGGGACACCAATACAACATTTCGACTCATACAATTATTTGAATATTTCCCATTATCGTACATATAATTTAATAGAATATATGTTATGCGTTTCCTTCATAAATGTATAAAGTTTGAAGAACATATTTGTTTTTTGTTTAAACTTTATAACGGCGTTGACGGTAGTGGCGAAGGATCAACAGTAGCCCGAAACTGAGCCACATCCAAAGAATATACGGATAGATGGCAGCTTTTTTTTCCACACCCTTTTCCATGTCCATGACGACCACAAAGTCTCGATAATTCATCACACAGGATTTACAAATTTTAGGGTTATCACTGACCAAGTCATCCTGATGAAAAAATTCCTCAAGAGGCCATCCATGCAACGATCCAGGCATCAGCGCAAGACCCAGCATCTGTATCAGCAAGCAGAGTCCCAACATCCCCAAGTTCTACAATATTTGGCAGCTTAAACAAAACTGAACTTAACTATGCCTCTGTCCGGAAACGACTGAAGCCAAAAGCTTGATCGTTGGCTATGCCAATTCCACGACTGGCAATGCTCCGTCTGGTCAGGTGAATGCCATCCGATCGGTCTTGGAAACAATTACACACACAGAATAGTTTTTCGTTGGAATAATCATTGTTTATATGGGTTTGGCTTACAGTCGATACGATACCCAATCTGGTTACACCATGTACTGCCGTATGTCGAGATCGCGTTCCCTGAGCTTCTGGTCTATCCACTGTCTGTAGAACTGCAAGTTCGTGTAAATTCCAAGCAGCTGCGGGCCTTCGCAGCGCCCAGGCCTGGCCAGCAGGCCGGCCAAAACGAAGCGATCGTCGTGGCCAGGGAGCGGACACATCAGGGGCACTCCATCCATGCCGCCATCGCCACAGACAAAGTCCCCCTTGTCCCCGCCAGCGCAGAGCAGCGTGTCATTGAGGGAGTACCGACGACCCAGGTAGGACAGCCGTAGTTTCGCCATGCACTGATCCCGCGGCAGGGCGTAGAGAGTCCAGCGCTTGGGCAGGGTCACGGAACCACCGAAATCGCTTCGACGCCAGCCGGAAACATAGCACTGGCTGTAATTGTACACCATCTGGGGCGGAGGCAAGCAAATCAACTGCACATTGGGTGCCAGCTCGAAGGGAGGCGTCTCCTTAGCCACCAGCAGCACTGCTATGTTGTGGGCCACTGGTGTCTGCGTATAATTGGGATGCAGCAGCAACTCGGCCGCCCCACGGGTCTGATGGGGCTGCGGCTCCAGCTGTACGGCGGCATCCCATTCTCCTGCCACCAGGCGAAGATTCTCGGCAGTCTCGTTCTGCACGCAACGAGCCGTGGTAAGGACAGCTTGGGGTGATATGAGGGCTCCACTGCACAGATAACCATCGGCCCCATAAATGGCCACCAGCCACGGGAACTCGCCGAATTTCGCCTCCTGCTGCTTGTACCCCAACGGGCGGAGATAGTACCAAAGATCATGACGTCCTCCGCATTGCCAGGAGTTCGCTCCCTCCAGAGTTCTGGCTGTGGGGAGCTGTTGGAGTAGTGTACGAGTACTTGAGTGTCCGTCTGCCGTCGGGTTCAATATGGATCTGTACTCACCGTTTCGTGGGCATTGCAGCACTTCTCCATATAATGGCACTGCTCATCCAACATGGTTCTGCTGCGATCCGGATAGAAGTGCCCGTCCACCATGAGACCCTCGTTGCACTGCTCGGAGGGCACACAATGCTTTTCCGGAGCGCAGCTCTTGTATCCCAAAGCGTCCGGCGCAAGGCAGCCTAGCAGGCACCCAACCACCATCGGAGTGAACCACATCGTTGCACTTGAACTTGAACTGTGCGGCTCGACCAGTGGCTTTTATAGCCTCATCAAGGGTCAGGCGGTGGCCAACCTCTTGATTGGGTTAAATATAACTTAGCCTACAGTGACCCATTAAAGAGCTATAAATAGACCAGTCTGGGCTGGATAAGTGGGTGAGAATTGCATCTTCCTGCACAATACACCGTGCCGACAACACGTATACGTAATACGAGCATTTGAATGCTGCGATGATGGACAGGGGATATGGAGGTGGATCAGCTGTGGACTAGTTCAACTTCTGCGTCATATCTTGGTGCACAATCGTCACCTAAGTGCACGTAAATTGAATAAAATTTCGACAAGTTTTAATACACGAGGCTCGAGGCAGGCATGCAACACTCAGCGAGTAAGTATGATGTGGGACGCAGACAGAATAGTTTCGAGACTGTTCGATAGTGGCTTCAATGGCGTAGATATAGCATAGATTCAATGATTCGTGTTACACATATTACACATTTATGGTAGCTTTTATTTCAATCATGGCTCAAAAGATAGCAACCTAAGAACTTAAGAAGGGGGTCTACAATCAATTAAAGGAAGCATTAAAATATGGGTATGCATATGCGTACATAAAATGTCTCTTGATTTAGCGCTGGATCTGGAGTAGGCAAAATAAAAGTAACCAAAGTACATGTGGGGATATGATGCATATCATCAGTGCTAAATCTAACAAAATGGTCTTACATATAGAATCAATATTCAATGTAATCCAACAGAATACCTAATGCAAGCGGTAGGTAGTATACGAATATTTAGAAATTGTATAATTGTATAAGACCTACAGAAGATATAACCCTAAATAATATGCCTGGGCTCCGATCTTTCACTTTAATATTGCGACAGAACTTTTCAAATATCATGGAGGCTATTTGAGACATTCTCTTCGTATTTACCAGAGAGCAAGAATGGAGTTTGGCTTGTGGTTGTTGTTAGGGGATATGCCTATCCGTGGCAATCCGTGAATGATTACTGCAGTTTACATTCGAGCAATCACATCAACGTCCTTGTCCAAATCCCAGCCAGCGGACGCAACGTCACAGGGTGTCATTGAAGAGTCGCTTGCCGCCCTTGTAACTGGGATTTATGGGTCCAGGCAACACGTGCGGCTTGAGGGCGCTCTTGCCAGGCAAACGGTCCGCATCGTATGGCAATGCGGGGGATAGCTTCAACTGGCGATAGTAATCGCTTTTGGGATAGAAGCTGTTACGCTTGATTTGGATCTGGACCCGCTTGGCACTGCCCGTCTGGGGCGTGGACGCTTGGGCTGGAAGACACTGGGCTGGCTGCGGCGTGGACTTCTGAAGTGTGCTGTTTACCTGTTTCAGTTGCTGTTTGCGCGAGGGCACAAAAAACTCCTGCTCACCAGTCTCGAGAGGAGCTTCCCAACCATTGGTTGGCTTTGGAGGGTCGGCAGCTTTCTTAGCTGCCGTTTTTGTTTCTGGCTGCGGCTTGGGCTGTGGCTGCTCTACTTTCTTTACCTTCTTTGCCTTAGGTTTGGCCTGCTTCTCTTCCTTGGCTTCCTTAGCTTCCTTGGCTTGCTTTTCCTTGACCTGCTTGACGCCCTCCTCGGCGTCATTGACCTCCTCCACTACCCAGGCGTTGTTGATGCTGGAACGCACCTTTGCATTGCGTTTTACCTTCTTCTGCAGCTCTGGTGGCAGGGCCTTGCCAATTATGTCGTCGTAGTTGTGCTCATCGACCTCCTCAAAGTTGATGGACTGCAGCAGACGCTTGCGCTTGGATTTGTTGAGTTTTTTTAGTTTTCTGCCAGTGCCAAAGACCTCGTCCTCCATCTCCTCAATGTCGGCTACCTTCTGCTCCACCAATTCGGATAGGGTTGCGCCTTCCACCTTGGGCATGGTGCGCACACCCAATGGGAATTCTCCATTTTTATAGGTCTCAAAGACTTGGAGGAGCTTGCGCAAGCCCTTGCGACGTTTGCTGTTGAAATCGTTTGTGCGCAGCAGTGTCTGCAGCTCATCCAATACACAATCCGAATTGAGGGGAAGCTCTGGCATGTGGACATCAACATTGCCAGCGCGCGGATCAAGGGAAGTGGCTCGCTGGGGCTCCTCCTCACTGTTGCCCTCGTCATCTTCTTCATCAAAGCCCGAGTCGTGTTTCTCTATGTCATCGATGGAAGCGGTCGGAAAGCCCATTTGCTTCCAGGCGTTGTATTTTTCGCTATAGTCTCGGCCCAATTCGCTTTGGTACAGCAAATGATAGAGAACTCTTGTCCGGCACTGGGCCACCAGCTTGGCATCGCGCTGAGTTCCCACATAGTTGACAAATGGGCGCAGAAAGAGATTGACTTGGCCGGCTGTAATCTCTCCATCGGCCGCTTTGGCCAGTTCCTCGAAGAACACATCCAAGTAATGCATTGTCAAGCCACGGCTTTTGGGCTGTTCCGCTAGGACAGACTGCAGCATGCTGCTGTTGAACGCTTCGATCAGCTCTGTCGACCACTTGCTCTGCTTTAGCAGCCGCAAAACGTACCTCAGCATGCGACGCACAAGCATCAGGAATTTGTCCATTCTCCATTGGTCAATGCCGAACCACTCCTGGCACATGGTGCGCATAAAAGCGCTGAAGTACAACAGACTGCAAGACGTATTACCGTCGAAGCTGTCCACCATTTGGGCCAACTGCTCTGCGAGCTCCTCCTGCACCAGCGGCTTGTCCGACATCCACATATTGTAGTACAGCCCCTTCCAAATCCTCAGAAAGTCGTCTTCGGTGAAGGAAAAGGAGCTGTTGGCCCGCAGCTTGAACCATTTGCGTAGTTTGCGTATTTGGCGATTCCTTTTTGTCACATCGTTGCAGGCCAGGGCGCGGACAATTTTCACTTCTTGTGCTATGACGAGTAGCTCCTTCGGAACCTTTGGCTGTGTGGGCTCCTCCTCGTCTTTATCAATGGCCGCCACTTCGGCACTGCGCTTGATTGGTTTCTTCCTTGTCACCATTTCTGCTTTAAATCAACTTTTAATTTCAATTGCAAAAATTCGTATGCTGTGTGTATTGAATGCGGCCTCTGCACGTGTTGTGTTGAAACAAATCGATTAGTGGATAGCGCCTCGCGGCGTTTGACAACACGGTAATGGACAGTGCGAAGTGCGAAAAAGGTAAAATTTCTTTAGGTGGGGTATGTTTCTTTCTCCAGAAATGGCACATACGCTTACAAATATTTAGACTATTTTTTATTTAAAATTAATATTGCATTGATTTATAAAAGTGTGTTTTTTTTATGCCATTATTACTCGTTGTTTTCATCAACGCGCTTACCAACACTACTCCCAGCTGATATAAGAAACAGCTTGCTTTTATTTCATTTAACATTTCAATAAATTAAAATAAAACAAAAAATTGTGTTCAAAATGCCTGTTCTGAGCGTGTCGAAAGCCGAGGAATATCAAACATACATTAATGCCGACAAGACAACGGTGGCGCTGTTTGCCGCCGACTGGGCCGAGCAGTGTGCTCAGGTGAAAGATGTGCTAGAAGAACTGTCGAAACTGCTAGGTGACAAATTGCAATTTATTAGCCTAAATGCCGAACAATTTCCAGAGATTTCCATCAAGCATCAGGTGAGTAATATCAGGTATATTAAACGAAACGGATGTTTGCTAACCATTTGTGGGTTTGGTTCACCAAGATTGAAGCCGTTCCCACAGTTATTTTCTTTGCCAAAGGCTCGGCTGTGGACCGAGTGGACGGTGTGGACATTGCCGCTATCAGTAGCAAATCCAAGAAGTTGGCCGAGAGTGCAAGCAGTGCGGAAGCCACGGGACAATCACTGGATGACCGCCTAAAGGCCTTGGTCAATACGGCTCCCCTAATGATATTCATGAAGGGCGATCGTAATGCTCCACGCTGCGGGTTCTCAAAACAACTGATTGCTATTGTAAATGACACTAGGTACGCAAATGTTCAAGTTAATTGTTGAGTCAACTCTACTTTTTAAACTGGATTTATCTATTTACAGTTTGCCTTATGAAACCTTTGACATCCTCAGTGATGAGGAAGTACGCCAGGGCCTGAAGTCCTACTCCGACTGGCCCACATACCCACAGGTGTATGTGAAAGGTGAACTGATTGGTGGCCTGGATATTATAAAGGAACTGCTTGCCAACAAGGAGCTTGAAGCCACTCTCAAAGGTTAACGCATTTTCCTTCCATTAGACTCAACTCAACAAAATCAGGAACAATTACGCTATGTCCATTGACTTCTTTTATATAATTTAATAAAATGAATTCAACAAAATACGTTTCAAACTCTCCCTTGGGCTTGGACTTTTGTAACACTGAACTGACAACTACAACGGTCGTTGTACAACACCATCAGCTGTGTCACCGGCGTCAAATTATTTCACAAATTTTCGTGCTACTGTATATATAAATTTTTGGCTTGGCGTCGTCCAATCCATAATAATATCAATGGCTGAAGCAAATTCCGCTGTGGCTGCTGCAGGTGGCGAGGATAAGAAGCTGTCCGATATTTTCCTAACGGGCTGGAATCTTTATGACGAGCTAGAAACTAGCGATCTTCCATTCAATGGCAGCGAACTCCAGGTGAGATATACATACATACAGATGTATGTACATATACGAGTATGTAAATTGATGTAATTTGTATCTACAGAATAAGGTAAAAACTGCCTTGGGCCTCTTTGAGGAGGCAACAGTGATTGTGAATCAAGTCGCCATGTTCAGTCCCAACGAGCTGATTGACGAAGTCTCCACCGATTCGCTGCCGTTTATGTTGCTGCCATACTTTTTGGGCAAACTTACCACCAAAATTAACAATCCCAACAGCACAGAGATCTTGGATCTGGGAGTAATTTATTTCAAGGATCATCTGCAACGTTGTCAGGAATACGACCTGTGCGAGGCCCCCAAAGGGACGGTGCAAAAGGACAACAACTTGGAAAAGAGCGAGCATCGGGAACTCATGGAGGCCGCCTTCAACCGCAATGATAAAATTGCTCAGTATCGCAAGATGAAGGAAATCGATGAGTACTTGATAAGAATGCGGGCTGCCGTCAAAAATAAGACGGCGGACGATGAGGTGCGCAGGGAGTTCTTTTTGAAATACCTGGACAGGAGCATCATAGACAGCAAGCAGGAATTGGAATCATTGCGCATGATAACGGAGCTATGTAAAATGCGTATTGCTCGACTGGCAGGTGGCGAAGCCACCACTGATGATGACACTCCAGCTCCATCTGGCCAGCCGTCGGGATCACGAGGCCACAGTCATGGCCATGGCCACAGTCATCACCATCAGCATGGGCCCAAACCAAAGCCACTGCAACCATTTATCATCACACGTAATGCCACTCAGAAGGCCGTCTTTGGCTTGGGCTATCCCAGCTTGCCAGTCATGAGCGTGGATGAGTTTTATCAGCAGCGCGTTGACGAAGGCATATTCCCCGATGCGGAGAAGTCGGCCAAAATGAATCAGGCGCAGGCAATAGCGGCTGCCCGCGACCCCAACGAGCAGGAGGATGAGGAAAAGGCTGTGGAGGACCAGCTAATTGAAGAGGACGATCCAGAGAATCTGGCCCGTATGCGACGCATGGATGAGTACAAAGATGTGGTGCGCCGTGGGGACGGAAATCGTCACAATCGCAGCTAAGAAACTCATTTGTATTTTTGTATTTAAATAATAAAAAGAATCAGTACTCAATACTCCGCGTGCAGTTTTTTATTAAGAATGATTTTTATTTAAATTTTCCGCGGTCATACTGCAGTGTTGAACAACAACAGTCTGCAGTGTCAGACGGCCGTGTGGTTCTTCACAGCACTGCACGTCACATTCCAACTCCACAACCCCCAGTAATAACAACAAAAAAAGGCTTGAGGCACATACAAATTAACAAAAGTCTTGCTTAAGCACAAATACGCAATTGCAAACAGTTAAGCAAACACCCCGCACAAGTAGGCAGTTGAGTACCATCGAGTTATCCTGATAACGAAAGTGAAAACGAAATATTTGGGTTATTCCGTAGATACAACACAACACAAAAAGCACCAAGATGTCTGTGACCGATTTTATCAAGGGCCTGCCAATCCACGATTCCAATAATTTCACTCACCTCAGCAACGAGCACGGAATACGAACTTCGCAAAAGCGTGCCTCTGTATATTTGCCCACCGAAGACGAGGCCTCGGAGCAACTCATTGTAATGGACAAGAGATGCGTTCTTTTGCGCTATCTAACCCAAAGCTGGGACAAGAAGATTACATTGCAGCGTAAGCGTGAGCATGGCAACGAGGGCAGCGTCAACAGCTCCACCCCAAATGGCAATGGCAGCAACAGCAAAAAGCGCCCACGAATAGATCCCAATGAGCTGAACTGAGTGGCAGGACACCGACCCATTTTGAAGAAACCTACACACGCATACATACTTACGTTTATCCCCCTCACTGTACACTGTACACACATAAATATGTTTTATTCAATTCGCCAAGTACAAAAATATTTAGGGATACACATGTATTAAACAGATGTCCAATTACCAGATTTCCTGCTTACACACTCAGTCAAAGGAGCAGACATGCTGTAACCCAAAATAAAAATTATAAAACCCATATATGAGGCGCTCCAATGTATTTTACTCTTTAAAGACAATGATTGGACTTTACTATATTACTTTAACGGCTAGCTAATGGTGTCCCAGGTCCTTTGGGTCTGGCTTGCCATGCTGCTTCTCCCACCAGATCACGTACTCCTTCTTTCGTTGCTCCCGCTTGGCGAAATACTCGGGAAACTGGGCCTTCTCCAAGGGATGCCAGTAATCCAAGAGCCAGTCGGGTGGGATGACCTCACGCTCGAAGGCGCACCCACCAGCGCTGTTGGCAACTGTAAATGGTAAATGATTAATAGTTGCGCGTTACAATTAGAGCGGGTGGATTTGTTTACAGGTCTTGGGCTGGAAATGCTTCGTCTCGAAGAGCTCCTTCTGGCCACAGGCCAACAGTCGAATGCCTTCACCCAGATCCTTGCTGCGGTTCTCGTCGAAACGTGCCCGCATCTGCACAGCACGATAGCGGTAGTCATTTCTATTGGGGAGTTAAAGCATCAAGATGCACTTCGTCATTATATAATCTGCAGCAGACATGTTAAACTACACTTGCCGTCGGTCGTACCACGCCTCCAGGTTGCGCAGGGCACGCTTGTACAAGCTGCACACCTGGCGCTTGTGCGAAGCAATTGCCAAGGGGACTTGGGCCATCGTTTTAATGGGCTAAATTTGTTAAATTCTATAAAATTACTGCTCAGCACAGCAACAACAAACACAGCTGTCAAACAGTAGTGTGGCACAACGTCGCAGTTTGCATTCATCTGACAGCACCAACAACGTTTGAGTGCTGCGAAACGTTTTTCCCCTCGCTTTAACAGTTTTATGAATATGTATCAAACAAAAATATTTAATAAATTATTCATAAGCAATTAAATTAAAAGTAGGTGTCCAAATATATATACAAAATGCATCTTAATCTTCTAGCTGCATAACATTCATGATGCACTGAACAATATGATCGGGTATATTCAGTGGGCTCTCGCACAAGTCGCCCGTCTTTTTGTCGTACATGTAAATTTCATTGACGACTCGATCCTCGTTCTCTGGATCCAGGGACGACACAAGGACCAATGATCCTTCTGCCAGCTCGGAAAGGATTTGTTCTATGCCATGTTCGGTGGCAGGCGACGCGACTGGCTCGTCAGTGCTTACTGTTGTTTGTAAAGGTAATGTTTGATCGGCAATGAAATCAATTATAAATGCCTCTGTTGGTTGTCCCGTTGGCCCATCAGTTGCAGGCTCAACGTCGCTGACATAGCTTAGGGTACCATCGTCCATATTAATGATGGTTTTATCACGTGACTTACTTATATCTACTATATACTCTTGATCGTCTGATAAAAGCGCATTTAAATCCTCCTGCTCCTCCAGCTCTCCCCTATTCACATTATTACATCCAGTTTGTTCTGTTTTGATAACTGCTTCTTCCTTAATCGATTTCAGTGACGCCTGATCCTCCATTTGTTTCTTCTTTGAGACGCGTTGCCGTGGCTTTCGCTTGGCCGTACCGACACCGACTCCTTCATTCTCATCCGCCTCCAAAGCCTTGCATCTCTTGGCCCAGGCGTGCTTGCCAAACATCTTTTTAGTCACATGCTCATTTTCATAGACCGTATCTCCATCACTCAAGCTTCGCGCTGCTTTGCTTCCCAGCGATTTTGTACGCTAAAATGGGAACAATTTTTAAGATTTTTAAATCATATTTTGGGACGACTGAAACCCACCTTCTTGGTGTTCCCAGCCTGAACAGACATAATATCATGCCACTGGCGCTCTTTTTCCACACGATCGCGATCCTCCTGCTCCAGCTGATCCTTTAGCTCCTGTATGTTAAAGGCTTTGGGATAGAGCAGAGCCTTGTTGATCAGCTGGCTATTGGTGCGCTCCTCCCTCTTGTACTTGAGCTTGAGATCACGCCGCGTGCGCTGCGGAAACATTTGGCACATCAGCGAGAAGTCTGTGCCGATAATCTGCAGGCTGCGGTAGAAGCGTACTGTCTCCTCGGCCGACCAGTACGGCGTGCGCCTGTGACGCTTGTAAAATCCATTGTCCCCTAAGCAATAGATATGAAAATATTAAAATATGCGAGTTGCAAACATGTTGCAGCCCTACCAGTAGTCTCATCCATGAGAATTAGCGAGGAGTTGGCGAGCACCTTGCGGGCTTCCACCTCAGCTGTGGTTTCGATCTCCAGGGTCTTTTCATCAATGATCATCTCCCCGTTGGCGTCGAGTTTTAATTGGGGAACGGGCATGGCTGATGTGGCCTCTTCTTTGGCGTCTATCAGCTGATCTGGAGTGGGCTTCGTTTCCTCGGCACTGGACTCGGCTTTGATTGTGGTTACCAAGGGCTTTTGTTCCATGGGATTGTTTAGGGGATTGTAGAAAATCATGTCGAACATTTTGAAAGTGGATTTGTCTGGAATACCGTTGTTGAAGCGCGTCTCGAAGTCTCTGCGAGCGTTCACTCGCTGTCCCGCCTGCATGGCCTGGCTCTTATCGTCGCCCTTGCGCTGCTTTCCGCCGCCTTCCGAGTAAGCGGAACAAGTGGATTCCGTGCGTATGCGTCCCATTCCAGGACTCATTACAGGTGGAAAATATTTGTACGGAGACGGTGGCATGGGCGAGGCGACCTGCTGCGGCGTGCCCATCGACGAGCCGCTGAGATAGCGCTCCCTGCGTGTGGGCGTTGCCGGAGATTGATACTCCCCATCGTAGTCGCCGGCCATGGGCGAACCAACGAAACTATTCCTTCGCTGTCCAAACACAGGGGTCGGACGCACACGTTGGCGTGCCTGAGTCTTGCTCGGGGACATGGGAAATCCATTGGCGGTTTTCTGCAAATCCATTTGTATCACATTATCCTCGATCTCAGAGTGAATCACCTCCTCCAGTTGCCCAGCCGAGCTGACGGGCATTTTGAAAGCCATTGCATCAGCATCGTCCAGCTCCCCGGTGGCCGCAATAGCTTCTTCTTCAACGTCTGCCCCAATTGACATTGCCTGCTCCTCTGGCTCTTCCTTTGGCACCAGATCTTCCTTACGCGCCTTACGCTTGATGTGCGAAAGATTGGCCATAGCCTTGAAGCGCTGGCGCCGCATTGACATCCTCTCCGTGTTTTATTAGATCCTTTTCCAGCTGAAATGCAATTTCACACATCGAATGGAAATACAAATCGGTGCAACAAACACAAAATCGCACCACGAGTTTCTTTGGCCTAGTGTTGGTAAACTCTAAACATGGCAGGACAGTGGTACCAGGCCCGTCGAAATGCACGTGTGAAAAACATATAATTTACATACAAGAAAAAACAGATAGCACGAAACAATTTGCTTATCAGGCATCTCGGTAAATACACATATATATTATATATATATTTGTTTAATGTTTCCACTGTTCAGTGCTGCCACAACACATTTCACAACACTTCACCCTGTAACGACACAACAACACCAACAATAACATAAGCATAGCAAATGTGCAGCATGCACGTTTTTTTAATTGGTTAGAAATGATAAGCGTAGCAATAACATAACCAACCTGTCGTGCATTGGGACACCTGTCAAGTCAATAGCCAGGACACAGAAACAAAATTATCAGTTTGAAATCAACGAATGTGACAAAGTGTGCGAGTAAATTATCGTGGAGGACCATTAATAACAGTGAGCAGCCCCGTCCCCCATTCAGCTGTTATGCAAGCAGGGGGCAGACAATTGAATTAGCCGGCATGCTGCTCAATCGATTTGTCTTGGCAATAAAGACCCAGTCCCGGGAGACTCTGCGCGCCTGGAGCTATCAGTGCGAGTCCATCTTCGCCCAACGCTCTCGTCGCATCCAGCAGTTGCTGACATTCTATCAGTCGGTCTACGGCACACAGGGTCTCAAGCAGCTATGGCGCACCTACTACCGTCGAGAGCTCCAACCGCCCATACGTGGATTAATGCTGAGTGCGGTGGGTCTCATGGGATTGAACATAAAGCGGATGGGCAGCGATGGCTTCGACTGGAACAAGGAGCGCTTGGCACTCTCCAATTTTGACATGTGTCGCCGGGACATTGAGTTCATCAACACACTGCCAAATAACCAGCTATGTGAACGCTGCAAGGCAAAGAAAATGAAATACTGCTACTGTCAGCTGGGGAATCAGAAGTGCCGGAAGAGCGGTGCAACAGTCCCGTCGACGAGCAAGCAGGGGCTGGGCCCGGACGCTGGTCCGGACACCGGCTCCATACGAAACTGTCATACACCCATGGGGTTCGATACTCGGGACGCGCCAGCGGGAGTGGTTCGGATTCAGGCTCAGGACGACCACAAATGGGAGCCGTACTTTAGTAAAAATGAGTTTAGCATATGGAGGCGGGAGGAACGGTCCTCTTTGTACTCATATAAGGTAAACTTAAGTGGAAATTCTGAAATTTAAAGCTTGTAATGCTTGTGGTTCCCTACCAATATCACTAGGTATATGCGCGATTTGATGACATCACAGCAGACGATTTCCTCCATGTGCAAACAGATCTTGACTATCGCCGGCAGTGGGACGACACGGCCCTTAGACTTGAGCTTATAAGCGAGGATCCCGTGCCGGGGAGCAATTCGCATTTGATCTATTGGGAAATGCAGTGGCCTCGACTGTTTGCGAACCGGGATTATGTCTACTGTCGACGCTACATCAAGGATGAGACGCGGAAGATGATATTCATTTGCAATCGGGGGGCCAAGCACAGCACATATCCAGACCTGTCCGGAAAGGTGAGGGTAACCGACTACTGGAGCCTTATGGTTATCAAGCCATTTCGCGGATTCCAAGAGCCTGGCCTGCATTTCATACTCACCTATTACGATGACCCTGGCATACCCATACCGCAGAACATCAAGTCCTGGGTAACGCAGAAGCAAATGCCCGAATTTCTAACCAAAATGTATGTGGCCACAAAGAACTACTCCTGCACGCGTGCCCTCAAAATGAAGGACATGTTCAGCAACTTTAATCTGATCAACGAGGAGTACACGGCCAATGCCCAGCGAGGCAGCTGGCTGGGCAGTCTGAGCCGGAGCAAGGTCCAAAGTCGCGATGATGAGACGAAGCGTTAAGTTAAGTTCGATCTCCTCTTTGATTCCCATTCACAATGCTCCTCCCCCTCCCTGCCCTTCAAAACAGACCCTTCGATCCGTTCTCCTATTTCTTGCGACCATTTCAACCATTTTGGCAAAAAAAAAAAAACCTAAATCAAATTTCATAGAACACCACAGCGAAGCGAATGTGCAATATACTAGAGTGTGCATGCAATTTGCCACCATGAAATGTGTGCCACAAGGATAAGGCTTTATATAACTCTACATAGCTATTGAATTCAAAATATATTAATATAAGGTTAAATATTGTTTTAAAAGCAAATAGAAACTATTGAAATTACACTTGTACAATAAAAGAATTGCAAATAATTATACTTCATAAGCATATGAATATGCATATGCATATATCACCTTCTTTGAATTGCAGTTCGACGATGTTTTTTAGCAACCCACATCAGAGACAGACAACAGTCGCCCGGTCTCGAGAGACGCATCAATGTGCCACTGTTGTCCAGTAAGTTCCAATGAAGCTTAAACGTAATTTATTAGTTAGCCAAGGCGTGGGCATAGATACATACATATATACTTTGCGGTTAATGGGGAAATTAATAATAGAAATGGAATACAACTAGAATTATTACACGAACTGAGATTGCTAAATAATGAGAAAGAACTATCGTTAGTTAGGTGTGTCGACAGCGTATCACAGCTCAGTGTGGTCCGTTGTGCTCGGCGGATTGTTCACGTAGGCAATAAAGTCCTTGCTGGTGCGTCCACCATTGTAGTCCAGCTTGATCTTCAGGTAGGAGAAATACAGAATTGTTGGATATCCACGGACATTGTATTTGGCACAGAGTGCGGAATGCTTGGTACAGTCAATGGCGACAAATGCAACGCGTGGATCATCCTGCAGCGCTGTGGCGGCCGCTGTAAACTCTGGCTTGGTGTGCTTACAGTGTCCACACCCTGAGCAAATAGACAGAAATATAATATTTGATCCAATTGTGGACTCTTTTTCGTACTTACAGGGGGCGTAGAACATGACCAGCGCATGCTTCTTGCGCTTCAGCGTCGAGCTGAAGGTCTCGTCGTTGAGAAAGAGCACCTCTTTGCTGTCATCTTCCTCCTCCCAGCTCTTTTCTGGTGGTGGTGGCGGCGGCGGCTCCCTGGGATCCCGCATAAAATCAACAATTTTCGATGCTTCGCGCACATTGACATCAAACTTGTAGACGCCATTCGCAAAGTACTTGACCGTTGGGTATCCCTTCACCTTGTGCTTCTCGGCAATCGGCTGCTCTTTGGTGGCATCCAAGGCGGCCAATAGACCGGGCACCTTCTGCTGCTTCATCTCCAGGGCTGCCTTTTCATACTCGGGCTTCATGCGCTTGCAGTGGCCGCACCAGGGCGCATAGAACATGACCAAGGCGGACTTTTCATCTTTCAGTGCGGGCTCAAAGCCTTGGCTGGTGAGATGAACTATCTCCGAGTTGGTATCAGCTGACCACTCGGGCTCCTTGGGCTTGGGCGTGGGTTTTATATTGGGATTCAGCATGAACGCCACCAAGGCGTCCTTGGTGTTCTCCCCCTCGTAGGTGAAGCGAAGCTTGCCGTTCTCAAAGTAGATTAGTGTGGGGAATCCTGAGAAACAAAATGTTTAGGCTGTGGTGCGCAGTTTGCATACGAGAGAGGGCTTACCTGTTATGTTGAATAGTCTGCGTACAGGTGCATTCTCCTGGCGCTCCACATTCATGGCTGCCAGCAGATAGCCGCCCTGGGACTTGAGCTCTGTGGCCGCCTTGCCGTAGTCGGGCTTCATTTTCTTGCAGAAGCCACACCAGGGCACATAGAACATAACCAGCATGGGTCGTATGTCCTTGCGCAGGTGTTTCGTGAATGTGGCAGAGTCACTGAAGTGCAGCACATCGTTGCCGTCAGCATCCTCTTCCCAGGGCAAATCGCCGGACGGATCACGCATGAACGTCACAATGGAACCGACACTCACCTGTCGATCGTAGTCCTTGTGATAGTCGCCATCTTTGTAGTGCTTGAGCGTGTACCGGTCCGGTGTGACTTTCAGCTTTTTACACAATTTCTTTCTGTCCTGCTGTCCACAATCCACCAGCAACATGGTACCGGTGCCTCGTATCGCCTCTGCAGCCTCACGGAACACCCTCAGTTCGGAGGCCGCTGCCTTTGCACTAGTCACATAGAGCGCCAGGACATTGTTCTTGGTGCGCAGTAGTTTCTTAAAGTCCTTGTATTCGGACACGTCCTCCTGCACAGCAGAAGTTTTTGTTTTAGCGGCAACAAGTGCCACCAGAAGGAGCAACACTAGCTGGCCCGAGATCCACATCAGGGCTGTTCGCACTCCTCGCTTAATGGGCTTTATGTGCTTATCTTGAGATACTCTTTGTTCTGTTAACTGAGCAATTACATGTTTTATACAGTTTTAAAGCGGCAATTCAATATATAGCCAAATGCAGTCAGAAGAGGACGTGGACGTGTAGGGTTGTTGAATGGCATGATATATCGCTAAATACTTCATATCGATATATCGCTAAATGCTTCATATCGATATATCGATACCAGCTGCTTAGCAATTATGTTTGTTAGCGTTATACGATATATACATAGAAAGATGTCTATATTAATAATTAATGAACGTTCCCTTGAAGGAAATGTATTATTCAACATATGACATTACCTTTTGCTGCAAAAACGGGAATAATATACGACCAGTTGGAGCACCGATAGCGTCAACGAAATATCGATTGCCTTTCGAACGTGGCAGGCGACAACTCTAGCACAGGTCTGACACATTAACATTCAAGAAGAAGAGCGAGCCGTAGGCACAGCAAAAGAGTTTTCTTCATCTCGCCGCAATACTATTCTTTGAACAGAGTTTGGGTTGGTTTAATTGGTAAGCGATGCCTCTCAAACTGGACATCAAGCGTCGCCTGACGTCGCGCTCGGATCGCGTCAAGTGCGTGGATCTGCATCCAGCCGAGCCGTGGATGTTGTGCGCCCTATACAATGGCCACGTACACATCATGAACTATGAAAACCAGCAAATGGTTAAAGATTTCGAGGTATGCGACGTCCCTGTACGCTCCGCCCGTTTCGTGGCACGCAAGAACTGGATCATAACAGGATCGGATGATATGCAAATCCGTATTTTCAACTACAACACTCTGGAGAAGGTGCACTCGTATGAGGCGCACTCGGACTACCTGCGCTGCATTGCCGTGCATCCCACGCAGCCGCTCGTGCTGACCAGTAGCGGTAGGTTGCACAGCACTAATCAGCTCATTCCACAATAATTTTGGTTTCACTTTCGTACCTCGAATTGCATCAGACGACATGCTCATCAAGCTGTGGAACTGGGAGAAGCTGTGGGCCTGCCAACGTGTCTTCGAGGGTCACACCCACTATGTGATGCAGATCGTGTTCAATCCGAAGGATAACAATACATTTGCCTCTGCCTCGTTGGACCGCACGGTCAAGGTCTGGCAGTTGGGCTCCAATTTTGCCAACTTTACGCTGGAGGGACACGAAAAGGGCGTCAATTGTGTCGATTATTATCATGGCGGGGATAAGCCCTACTTGATTTCGGGCGCCGATGACCGATTGGTCAAGATCTGGGACTATCAGAACAAGACGTGTGTGCAAACATTGGAGGGACACGCACAGAACATTTCTGCAGTCTGTTTCCATCCCGAATTGCCGATTGTGCTGACAGGCTCCGAGGACGGCACCGTTCGCATTTGGCATTCCGGCACATACCGCCTGGAGACCTGCCTCAACTATGGCTTCGAACGCGTGTGGACCATTGCCAGCATGCGTGGCACCAACAACGTGGCCCTCGGCTATGATGAGGGCTCCATCATCATCAAGGTGGGCCGTGAGGAGCCCGCTATGTCTATGGATGTAGTTGGCGGTAAAATCGTTTGGGCCAAACACTCGGAAATGCAGCAGGTGAGCGATCCCATCTAATCCTTGATTTTTCGCAAGATTAACTGATTTTGTTTTGCTCCTGCAGGTGAATCTAAAGACCATTGCCGACGGCACTGAGATTAAGGATGGCGAACGCTTGCCCGTTGCCGTCAAGGACATGGGCGCCTGCGAGATCTACCCACAGACGATTGCCCATAATCCGAATGGCCGCTTTGTAGTTGTTTGCGGCGATGGCGAATACATAATCTACACATCGATGGCTCTGCGCAACAAGGCTTTTGGCTCGGCCCAGGAATTCGTTTGGGCACTGGAGAGCAACGAGTATGCCATACGCGAGAACAATGGCACCGTGCGGTTGTTCCGCAACTTCAAGGAGCGCAAGAGCTTCACACCCGAGTACGGGGCCGAGAGTATTTACGGTGGATACTACTTTGGCGTGAAGACCTCGTCGGGCCTGGCCTTCTACGACTGGGAGACCCTCCAGCTGGTGCGTCGCATTGAGGTGCAGCCAAAGAACGTGTTCTGGAATGAGAGCGGCAGCCTCGTTTGCTTGGCCACAGACGATTCCTACTTCATACTGGGCGTGGACACGGCCCAAGTAGCGAATGCCGTCGAATCCAAGGAGGGTCTGGAGGATGATGGTGTGGAAAGTGCTTTCAATGTATTAGGTAAGACCACAATACAAACCAGATCTGCTGAGACCAGCATCTAACGCTGTTGTGTGCTTGCAGGCGAGGTCTCTGAATCTGTGAAGACGGGACTGTGGGTTGGCGACTGCTTCATCTATACGAACTCTGTGAATCGCATCAACTATTATGTGGGCGGTGAAATTGTGACCGTGTCGCATTTGGATCGCACCATGTACTTGCTGGGCTACGTGCCCAAGGATAACCGCTTGTATTTGGGCGACAAGGAGCTGAATGTGATCAGCTTCTGCCTACAGTTGTCGGTGCTGGAATACCAGACGGCCGTGATGCGTCGCGATTTTGAGCGGGCCGATCAGGTGCTGCCGACCATACCCAAAGAGCATCGCACCAGAGTGGCACACTTTCTCGAGAAGCAGGGCTTCAAGTCTCAGGCTCTGCAGGTCTCCACCGACGCTGACCACAAGTTTGACCTGGCCCTGCAAATCGATGAGCTGGACATAGCCCTGAGGCTGGCCCGCGAGGCCGAGAACTCCCAGAAATGGTCACAGCTGGCGGATGTGGCGGCGCGCAAGAATAACATGGCGTTGGTCCAGGAGTGCATGAGGAAGGCGAATGACTTCAGTGGATTGCTGATGCTCTCCACTGCCTCGGGCGATGCACAGATGCTCGAGGAGGTGGAGGCTGTCTCCTCTGTAATGGCACGTCACAACGCCTCCTTCCTGGCCGCATTCCTGCGTTCGGACGTGCACCGTTGCCTCGACCTTCTCATCGAAAACAACCGCTTGCCCGAGGCGGCATTCTTTGCCCGCACATATCTGCCCAGCCAGATGTCGCGTGTGGTTGCGCTGTGGCGCGAGGAGCTGGGCAAGGTCAACGAGAAGGCCGGCCAATCGCTGGCCGATCCAGCTCAGTATACAAATCTCTTTCCTGGGCTGACTGATGCCCTGCGCGTGGAGCAGCATCTGCAGGAGGAAAGGACTCGCAGGGTGCCAGCCCGCTTGGCTGGACAGCTGCCCTTGAATAGCGAGCGCAATCCTCTCGAGGAACTGAACTCAGCCGAGCGGCAGAGTGGAGGCCAGCCGGAAGAGAAAATAAAGGCGGCCCCTCTCTCCGCTCAGGTTCCCGTGGCCAGCGCCCAGGAAGCCAGCTCAGCCGTCAATGTTGTGGACGACGACGACGACGATGACGACCTGGATCTGGAGATTGACGGCATAACACTGGATGATAACATAGATACGACAGATGTCAATCTCGATGATGACTTTTTAAGCGATGATTAGATGAAGCAGATGAGGTGGAGCGCCAGATTTAGAAATACTATAAAATTCTTTGTTTATTGCTAGGGGAGTCCCACACGAGCATTTCAAGCTACACAATTCCGCGCATGCAATCGCATTTGATTTGATTGAATGTTGTTTCCCGTGCATTACCTATACAACAGTAAAATAAATATATAATATGTACAACAAATGGAGCAATAATTAAATATGGGTATTAAAAATCAGTATAAGTATGGGTATTCATGGAAGAATGTATTATCAAACCAGACATTCAATGGACAAAGCAGAATCGTACGAAATAAGACACTTCACTACCCCGTGTAGATTTAGTTTTACTATTATTAGCTTTGATTGAAAATTAGGCACAGGACGCAACATTCTTTGTATTGGATCAGCTACATCAAAACATAATATAATCCAGAAGCTCCCCAATAGACCGTCAGAGTACAAAGAAGCTCGAAAAATGATATTGTTTAGCATTGATTAAAGGAAATAAATGAAATTAATTAAAGATTTCCATAGTACCAGTAGAAAAGCAACAAGTGCTAAGTGACATTTCATTTCAGGCCTACTTTATGCTTTTATTTTGTTGTTGACCTTTTCTGTGTAAAGTTAACCTTTTTTTATAAACAATCCAGTCCAATCTTGTAGAAAATTAAATTATCAATCAGATAAAATGTCTATATTTATAGCTGAAACCGATTGACCAGCAATCCGAACATAGAACATTTAATTCCGTTCACATATTTCAATCAGGACACACAAATGTACGTTTCATGCATTGGCCCATTTTGTTTAAACCCTATTTTCTTTAACATCTAACAAAAGAGACTTCTTTAAATCAGCCACCATTCTAGAAAATTGATTTATCTATCTAATAAAATTATAAATTCAGCGCTGAGAGGCCTAGCTAGCTGATAATATTAGACTGAACATCAAAATGGAGAAATATAAATTCCGATTAAGAGAAAAGAATGCTAGCCGATTGTCGACCAGGAGATATTATAATTTACGCGAAAATATTATGAAACTTGAAAAACAATTATGTAAAAGGGAGTCCTTAAAATTAGCCAATCTTGTAGAATATTATATGATCAATCAGATGGAATTTCCATATCATAGCTGAAACCGGTTGACCAGCAATCCGAACATAGAACATTTTATTCCGTTCACATATTTCAATCAGGACACACAAATGTACGTTTCATGCATTGGCCCATTTTGTTTAAACCCTATTTTCTTAAACATCTAATAAAAGAAACTTCTTTAAATCAGCCACCATTCTAGAAAATTGATTTATCTATCTAATAAAATTATAAATTCAGTGCTGAGAGGCCTAGCTAGCTGATAATATAAAACTGAACATCAAAATAGAGAAATATAATTTCCAAACAACAGAAAAGAATGCTAGCCCATTGTCGACCAGGAGATATTATAATTTACGCGAAAATATTATGAAACTTGAAAAACAATTCTGTAAAAGGGAGTCTTTAAAATTAGCGAATCTTGTAGAATATTATATTATCAATCAGATAAAATATCCATATCATAGCTGAAACCGGTTGACCAGCAATCCGAACATAGAACATTTTATTCCGTTCACATATTTCAATCAGGACACACAAATGTACGTTTCATGCATTGGCCCATTTTGTTTAGCCCCTATTTTCTTTAACATCTAATAAAAAAGACTTCTTTAAATCAGCCACCATTCTAGAAAATTTATTCATCTATCTAATAAAATTATAAATTCAGTGCTGAAAGGCCTAGCTAGCTGATAATAAAAACGAACATCAAAATAGAGAAATAAACCAACACGAAGCGCAGCCGATTTCGCCAGATATAAAACGCGAAAAATTATGAGACTTGAAAAACAATTATGTATAAGGGCCTTAAAATTAGCCAATCTGGAATAATATGTCAATCAGAAAAATTCCATACTAGCTGAACCGGTTATAGCCCACTAAACTCCGCCTATCATTCAGGCCCTTAGTGCGTTTATGCTTGGCCCATTTGAAACCCTTTTTTCTAAAACATCCAATAAAAGAGACTTCTTAAAATTAGCTACCATTCTAGAAAATTGATTCACCTATCTGATGAAGTTATATATTCAGTGCTGAGAGGCCTAGTTGGCTGATAATATTAAACTGAATATCAAAATCGAGAAATATAATTTCCAAACAACAGAAAAGAACGCTAGCCGATTGTCGACCAGGAGATATGTATTATAATTTACGCGAAAATATTATGAAACTTGAAAAAAAATTATGTAAAAGGGAGTCCTTAAAATTAGCCAATCTTGTAGAATATTATATGATCAATCAGATAAAATATCCATATCATAGCTGAAACCGGTTTATCAGCAATCCGAACATAGAACATTTTATTCCGTTCACATATTTCATTCAGGACACACTTATGTGCGTTTTATGCATTGGCCCATTTTGTTTAAACCTTATTTCCTAAAAAATTCAATAAAAGAGACTGCTTTCTATCAGCCACCATTCTAGAAAATTGATTCATCTATCTAATAAAATGAAAAATTCAGTGCTGAGAGGCCTAGCTAGCTGATAATATAAGACTGAACATCAAAATAGAGAAATATAATTCCGTTAAAAGCTAGCCCATTGTCGCCGGAGATATTATAATTTACGCGAAAATATTATGAAACTTGAAAAACAATTCCGTAAAAGGGAGTCCTTAAAATTAGCCAATCTTGTAGAATATAATATTATCAATCAGATGGAATTTCCATATCATAGCTGAAGCCGGTTGACCAGCAACCAACATACTACTCATTCCGCCTCTTCAGGACACCTTAGTGCGTTAGCTGGCCCATTTTGTTTAATCCTCATTTCCTAAAAAATTCAATAAAGGAGACTGATTTAAATTAGCTACTATTCTAGAAAATTAATTCATTCATCTGATGAAGTCATATATTCAGTGCTGAGAGGCATAGCTAGCTGGTAATATTAAACGGAATATCATAATAGAGATATATAATTTCCAATCAACAAGACAGAGCGCTAACCCATTCTCGACCAGGGGGTATTTTAATTTATGCGCGAATATCATGAAACTTTAAAATTTTTACTGCAGTTCAGTTGAAAGATATTGCGGTCGTTTTTGTTTTGTTAGTAAAGAAAATAAAGGATATACAAGAAGGGTTTACAAGAAGCATTATTTTTCGCGGTTTAACTCAAGATGTTCACCTGTATAAATAGACAGGGGTTAAGTGGGCTAAGTTCCTTGTTTTTCTCGGTATATTTACGGTATTTTCTTAGCATGAGAAGTATATTTCGGTATATTGGGAGTCAGACGGGTATAATAAATCGGACTACGACTTGATTTTGGTGTATTTTATTTAAGAATAAATTATTAACTTAACCGTTAATAAATTATTATTAAATAAAAGGCAGCTAAAATCGGTCATCAGCCGTAAGTAATCAAATCACTCAGAGGAAACACTCTGGCAAGGGGAGCAGCTTGGCAGCTCCAATTTTTTGCCCGAGCATGAGCATGGCCGTAAATATTGATTTTTCATCAACATTATTTTTCCCAGTCAGATACGTTTGGAATACATTTCAAAATATGGAGCAGACGAACTATCATGGTCACGGTCTGCCGAATCAGCTGCAGAACATGCATCACCAACAGAACCAGAACCACGTTCACCAGATGCAGATGCAGCGGCCGCAGCAAGAGCAGCAGCCACCGCAGCAGCACCCAATGCAGCAACAGCAGCACCCAATGCAGCCATTGCAGCAGCAGCAGCAGCAACCAACATCGTCGCAGCCCGTCCAGACTGGCTTTGCTCCCCGGCGTCAGTATGACACATCGGCCAGCTCGACAGCTGGGAGTTTGACAAATGGCAATGTCGACAGATCCAACGCAAGGACCCAACGGCCGAGCAAAGTGAAGAAGGAGAGTTCGACAACAGGACAGTCGCCTCAGCCGCTGCAGCCACAGCAGCAGATCCAGATGCAGATGACCGAAATAGACGCGTCATCGTCGACCGACGATGCCATGACATTTGTCAGCGAAACCGATGCCAATGGACTGGCCATGAAGACGCCCGTTAGCATACTACAGGAGATCCTCAGTCGCCGTGGCATCACGCCCGGCTACGAGCTGGTCCAAATCGAGGGGGCCATACACGAGCCAACGTTTCGCTTTCGCGTGTCATTCAAGGACAAGGACACGCCCTTTACGGCCATGGGAGCCGGACGCTCAAAAAAGGAGGCCAAGCATGCCGCGGCTCGTGCTCTGATTGACAAACTAATGGGAGCCCAGCTGACGGAGGCTGCTAGCAGTAGCACCGCCACATCTGTGGCTGACGCCACGGCCGCTGGAAGTGGCGGAGATTGCAATGTAGCAGTTGGCGAGTAAGTATAACCCCTGCGACACCGCAACCCTGTATTCCATGCACAGAAAACATTTGGTTTTTGTTTTAACAGCGTTAGCGACAAGATTGTGGGCAATCCCATTGGTTTGCTGCAGGAGTTGTGTATGCAGCGCCGGTGGCCGCCGCCATCGTATTTGACTGAAACCGAAATGGGTTTGCCCCATGAGCGGCTCTTTACCATCGCTTGCACAATACTGCAACACCGTGAGATTGGCAAGGGCAAGAGCAAGAAGATAGCCAAACGTTTGGCCGCTCACAAAATGTGGAGTCGCCTGCAGGACACGCCCATCGATGCAGAAAAGATACCAGACGTCTGCAACGAGCTTGAGGGCGATGTGAGTATACAAGTTAACGAACCCTACCACACTATTAGTTCCAAATTTGAATTGCTCGAAATCTAGATGCATGTTTCAAAAACATTTTCCCTTTCCAAATGTTCCACTTCCACGATTTTTAATTTTATAAACTTATATGTCTATCAAATGTCAATTAAATTGAATGTAGATCTAACCAGTTGCATTTTCTTTTTATTTTACGTTTACTTATACCTTTAGTTATGTTCCTTGTTTCTAAATTGGCAATCCTTTAAATGCATTGTCTACCATCAGCATCGGTTACTATATGCTGTTCCCATGTTGTTTAGTTGGTGGCTGTAATTATTTGTTATATTTTGTGTTGATTGGTTAATTCTGCACCATTCAGTCCCCAGTCCATACTCACTCCCAAGTGATATATTTCAACTCACCATTTAACTCTGGGTGTGTGGTGTTTGGTTCGTGCAAAGAGTACAAAATGTAAACAGAAAACGCTGCGCTCTTATTTACAGTCTCGCATTAATGATAATTATTATGGTGATTTGAAAGATATCACTGTGCCGACGCTGACCACGCAGCACAGTAACAAAGTGTCACAGTTCCACAAGACCCTCAAAAATGCGACGGGCAAAAAACTGCTTAAACTACAGGTAATTTCAATCGCGAATCGATGGCCAGCCGACGCGCTTTGCCCACCCCTCGATTCTATATAATAATAAAGATATATATTATAATTTGTTCACCTATTTCATTTCAGAAGACATGCCTGAAGAACGCCACAGTCGATCATCCCAAGCTTCTGACCGATATTGCAGCCGAGAACCAGTTCGAGGTCACCTACGTGGACATCGAGGAGAAGACCTTCACGGGCCAATTCCAGTGCTTGGTGCAGCTGTCCACGCTGCCCGTTGGCGTCTGCCACGGCACTGGGCCCACGTCTAAGGATGCACAACGGCATGCCGCCCAAAATGCGCTCGAGTATCTGAAGATAATGACCAAAAAGTAAAGACCATAGCAAAATCTAAACGCACAACACGCTACTACATATGGAGGATATGGATAGACGCCAACTCCCAAAGCAATCATTGAGCAGGAGCTCGTTTTATCTATCATTTTTCGTTCCTTATTTCTAACTTTGATTTGACAGTTATATTGTAGTATGTACCTTGGATAAGGTTTTCTTTTCTTCTATTTTTAAACCAATGAATTGAAAAAATTGAAATTAACAACAACGTTAACTACAATAAACATACAGAAACTGACTAAAAGCCGAGTTTTAACAGCCAGAAGGAGGCTTCGAAAACAAGACAGCCAGATGGCTATAAACAATAAAACACCTTTTGGTGGTTAATCTCAGATTGATGTTCCACATTGGGAGGTAGACCTTTATTTAAAATTGTACGTGTACTTAAACTAGCTAGCGACTAAGTATGTTACTATCAGCGAATTGTTCTATTTCTTTTTTCGGTCCTGCGTACACTTGGGGCAGAACCACTTGCCCTTGGGCTTCGTGGTGAGACCGACGCAGGCAAAGTGGAACCATTCGATGGGACACTGCAAAAAGGATGGAATGAAATTGGAGTTTACAATGAATGGATGGGGGGGTTACACTCACATCGGGATTATCGCAGCCAATCATCTCGCCATAGGAGACCTGGTGGCATAGGCAGTACGTTGGTTCATTGGGGTCCACTGGCATGTCCATGACATCGCTCGGATGTGTGGCGGCCGTGTGGCAGGAGTCCTTCTCCGAGTCATCCGCTTCGACGACTTTCTGTGGGATCAAAGGGAGTAGTGTGCGTCAGTGAGCAGGCGATTTCAAATGGTTGACACGTGCAGAGAGTGGGGGGAAAAATGAGTAATGCAACTGATAGAAATGATTAGTTAGAAGGCTGATGGAAATGAATACGTGGGATATTGTGCGATTACCAGGCAGGAGGACTACGAGTACGAGTACAATTGGCTAACCGAAACGAATCGAAACGGAACTAAACGGAAGGCAATCAAACTAAAACTCTAAAAGATTCATAGACGAAATGTTGATGATGATGATTTACCTTTTGTGCGCCCCCCTTGCGTGTTTCTTTTTCTTGATTTACCTTTGACTTTTTCTTTTTGGTACCTTGGCCTCCAGCATTGCTGCTGGAGTTGAGGCTGACATTGGCATTGGTTTGGGTGCTGCCGCCGCGCCCAGTTTCCTCATCCGAGGAGGCAGACTTTTTCTTTTTCCCCGTCACCTTGCCGTCCTTTGCTTTCTTTCGACCCTCTGCAATAGCCAGAGAACGGAACGGGTTACACGCATCTGAGCAAGCCAAATGAGGCTACACTTACTTTTGGCCACAGCTTCCTCGGATTTGGCGCGCGTCGACGAGGCCTTCTCTTGGATCTCGCCCTCGAATCGCGCCAAATCATTGTCGAGACGGCGGATCTGCTTGTCGACCAGCTCGTACGTCTGTATGGCCAGCTGCACTTTGTCGTCGCTGTATTCCTTGGCCTTGCCGAAGAGCGCCTTGATATCCTCCAAACGCTCTTTACGCTCCTCCTCGCCCAGGGCACCGCTCTCGGCCAGCTTGCGCATAAAGTCCTTCGCATGGCTGTCAATGCTCTTCATTGCCGTTTGGGCGCGATCGTCCAACTTTCGCATCAGCTTGAAGTTCCGCTCCAGTTCGGTGGGCAGACTCTCCAGTCCTGGATAAAATAGGTTACACGCAGGTACTTTTACGCTAATAATGGGCTCACCATCCAGATAGTTCTCCAAGTACATGGCGGAGGACATTTTCTGGTGTTTGTGGGATATAGAAGTGTCAAACCAAAGAGGGCACCATCGATAGTATCGATATTTTACTGCTAGCCTCTACTATCGACGGTTTTGCGACTATCATGATAGTATCGAGCCACAGTCGTTGCGCTTTTGATATGTTTGGATTGGCTGCTATAAAATACGAAGACAAATTTGTAAGCAAATCGACAAGTGGCATCTAATTTTTACAAAGGACAAGTTCCTAAAAGGTTTCAATGGTTTTTTAATAAGAATTATTTTAACCCGATACTATCGATTGTTTTTCAAAACATTCAAAACTATCGATGACTTTACTATCAACAACTATCGATAACTTTTAATGTGATTGGCAAACAAATGCAAAATAAGTGCAACAAATTTAATTACTTGTTTTCCTGCTCTGCTGTGGCTAAAAGATAAACACTGACTAGCGTCTAGCATGTGTGCCACCTCGGAGGGATCTTGGATCAACGCGATCTTCGATGAAATTGCTCTGGAAGGCCTGGAGGGCGTCACGCTGCCAGGTAAGACACTCGCCCCACTGAGACAGAGACTTGTAATTTACATACGGTGCAATCCGCAGACCTGTGGCGCTTACTGGCGGTGCGACTGGAATTTGATCCCTCCCCGCTGCCCGACAATTTGCGGGATCAGGTGTGGACCCTGCTGCTGCGCTCTTGCCCCGGCAAAGTGGAATTCTATGAGCTGCCCTCGCCGCGACCGTTAATGCCCCCCTACGATCGCTCCAACGATCAGGATCCAGAGCTCGGCGTGGCCACGGTGGCAGAGCAGTGCCCCTATCTGCTCTACCGCAACACCCCCGTGCAGGAGGGCAACGTAATGGGCAATTGTGAAGACTACAAGACCCGCAAGCGTGTCAAGGCGGCCCAGCTACGCTCATGGACGGCCGCCCAGGCCACGGAGCACTGGGACCAGAGACTCGTTGCGGTAGCCTCACAAGAGCTGCGGCACATGGCCCTGACACCGCTCAATTTGATGACGCCCAAGGACATGCCCGTGCAGCAATACGTGTGCTGGGAGGCGATAGGACGCTCGCGCTATAATGGACTGACGACAGTCGGTCCCTGGGGGCTGAGCAACTACTGCAAGGACGCCAGCGTCGTGTTCTACATCAAGTGAGGAAAGCATTCCATCCATTTCAACCCATAATTGACCTGAGAATCTGATTTGACCCCGTATAGGAACAAGCTGCTGGCCCTCCAACTGATTGCCGCCCAAGTGTACAATGAGCGTCACAAGGGTCGCTTCACCAACTCGTCGCTGCTGATGCTGCCCCGATTCTTTCGCATATACAAGAGCCACACACAGAAGAGCATTGACAGGCTGTATCTGGATATCACGCAGAGCAGCAGTCGCCACATACCGCTGACCGAAATACCCGAGCGGCTGGGCCACATCAGTCGCAAGCAGGTGAAGAAGCTCCTCTTGACCCACAACATTCGAAAGTTCTTCGAGACAAATCACGTGACGCGCGCCGCCCCAGAAGCTGCTAGCTCCAGCTCCAGCTCCAACCCCAAATCGAATAAGGAGCCAAAGCCATCGAAGCGCAAACAGGTTGTGCTGCAGCTGAGGAACCCCGATCTGGCGTATAAGGATCTCTACGAGAACGATCAGGATAGCAGGGAGGACAAGCTGGAGCTCGATTTTCTTGATCACCAGCACAGCTTTTTGGATATGCCGCCGGAACGGGAGTGCCATCGGGCCATTGCACGATTCGGAAATCGTGGACTGACCGCCAACGAGTTGTGCCAGTATGTGGGCATCAGCATGCTGGCGATCCGCGGCTTCCTCAAGCACCTGATGAAGCTCGGCCAGATCAAGGACTACTCCGAGCAGCTGGGCAGGATGCGCATCATACGGTACGTGGCCAGTGCCCAAGCGCCTGAAGTCGAAATAAAAAAGATCGAACTGCAGCAGACGCTACTCCAGCTTCAGTGCAAGGATGAGCCGGTAAGGGCGATGATGAGATACTCTTGATCCTTGGTAGCCAGTGGACAAGCAATAAACCTTCCCCAATGTTTTGCAGAATATTCCTGAAAGCTCGGACGTGATGGTTCGAGATGTGACCGAGATTGTGGCGACTGTTAATCCATTTAGCTTCAACTTGAAGGACGTCAAACTGGACAGGCAAACGCAGCGTCACCTGCGTCGCAAGGAGCAGATTGTGAAAATGATTGACGACAGTTGCATCGTGCAACTGATGAATGTGTCGAGCAGCATTAAGAAGGAGGAGCGCAAAGCCGGCTACGAGGACACCTTGTGTCGCCGCTCACTCTATCGTCTGCTGCGGTCCATGATCGATGCTGGTATCGTGAATGTGTACGAGGTGACGCTGCAGTATGAGCAACGGCTGCGCGTCTACCGCTTGGTGACGCATCCCAAAATCGGCTCCGATCATGAACTCCTTAGAAGGGAGATCCTGCGATTCAAGAGTAATTTCCACCTAATGACCGAGGAGCGGCTGCAACGACCCGCGCAGCTGCCGCCCAAGGAGCGCAAACAGTTGATGCTCAGCAAGAAGCTTAACGCTGACCGGCAGAAGGCCCAGGCAGCCAAGACGCCGGCCCCTAAGCTGCTGTTGGCCAGAACGCTGCACGAGTTCCTCTACTACGTGATCTACGAGATGCCCAGGGAGCAGAGACCATTGGCCATGACGGCGGATCTGGTCGAGCAATGGCAGAAGGTGGAGCCCGCTCTCGAGACGCGTCAGTTTCTGGAAGAGTGGCGGGCGGACGAGACGCCCGTGCTGCCCTATAACTCTGAGATAAGCTGGCGCACCTTTATACCGCCGCTTCCGAGCTATGTGGACAAGCCCACGGGTTGGGTGTTCTTTATGGACGCCATGGATCGCATGCCGCTCTCGCTGCTGCTGCGCATCTGTCGCATTGAGCGCGAGGATAGCGCGGAGAGACTGCGGCTGCAGCTAAAGCATCCCATACGGCAGCACTACCTGCTCTCCCAGCTCAAACTGGAGAACATAGTCTCTCGCTCGCGTCTGCAGAAGCTGTATGCCCGCACCCTCTGCCTGCTCAACCACATGGGACTGATTCAGGTGAGCGACCTGCAGCTGGGCCGCGACTCCGTCCAGCGGTGGGTGTATCTGAATAAGCGTGCCCGACTCCTCGACACGACCGCCAGCAGCGAGCACAACTACCAGAAGGTCAGCGCTGATCGCACCTACATGGAGTTGCGGTTTGAGTTCCAGAATCGCGACCAAATAGCCCAGTACTGGGCCAAGCTGCAGCACATCTGCGTCTACACAAAGCTAGGATTCCGCAAGGAGCTGGCCGACAAGAAGAAAACGGCGGCCCGCCTCAAGCCCCTGTCCTTTTTTGGGCCTGGACGCTTTGACCAGGCGCTGGAGCTGGACAATGGCACAGTGCCGGGCGACCAGCTGGGCGCCGCTGGCCTCAGCTCGCTTCTCTTTGCCCATCAGTTCCGCAATTGGTCGTGGGTGCAGACGAAGCCGGGCAAGGGCGCCGCCGCCGGAGCTCTGAAAACGTATGCCGGCAAAACGCGGAAACTGGGAGCGTTGACCCGCATAAAGGTGACGCCCAAGCTGCCAATTCGCAGAGCTGCGGGAGGCACGGCCAGCAGCGCCAAGATGCCGCGAAGGAAATGCGGCCCACGGGATGATATCGATCGGGATGCCATGAGGAATATGCGCACACTGCGCGTCCACTGGCTGCCCGAGGAGGATCGCGTACTCAAGATGGGACGCGCTGTGTATCTGTTCTTTGACGCTCCGGTGCTATCGTTTGCCCTCAACAATGTGGGCCTCGTTTGCCGCGACGTCATCCGGCGCTACCTTGGCATCTGCAACAAGACCACGCAGGCCTGTGTGCGGCGATTGCAGTTCCTCATGCGCATGAAGCGCGATGCCCCGGACGTGCCCAGCTGGATATACCTGATGCAGACGCAGCCGCAATTCAATTCGATCTACAACGATCGATTCATGGGCAGCCTGAAGCGAGAGTATCCCACCAAAACCGAACAAAACGAGGCACTGCTGGTGCACTTTGTGCTCGTCCTAAGCAAGCTACATCAGATGATCACGAACTCGGTGAGTGCCATTCCAAGTTCATTCACTCTATCGCTTTATTAATCTCTTTTTGGTTTGTAGCATGGCACTGTGCGGAATCAGTTTATGCTGCCCGACACGGTAGATGAATATCGGAGCCAGCTGAGGGAGTGCAGCCGCTTGAACGACGATCAGCAGGTGTTGTACAGCAATCCCAGCACGGAAACGGAGCTGCAGGCGGCCATTGCCCACGGTGTGCTGCACAGCCAGGTCTGCTGTGCCAAGGACAAGACGCTGTTCAATCTGCAGACCTTCGAGATATACAAGCACTTCTCCGAGGAGGTGCTCAATGCCGCGTTCAGCAAGGCTCGCGCGGATTCGCTGCTGGTGGCAGTGAAGCGACGCAACATCCAGGCCGTGTCGAACCGCCAGATCTCTGGCCCAGCCCACGTGCTGAGCTCTAAGTACAAGTACCGATTGACCTATGTGAAGCTGGCCCATTCCGTCTTCGACAGCTACTTCGTGTTTGAGCAGAAGCTCAATTTGGAGAAGGAGCAGCACCTGCCCTCGCCCCATTTCGCGCAGCTGCTGCTCTTGGGCGAGTGGGTGGCCAAGGGCAAGTTGAGGCTGTCGCTGCACTTGCCCGCCAACATTCTGACCGTCGACACCACGAGCATGTCCAGGCCGAGTGGCTCCTCGACCGATCGCATTCTGGATCACTACAGCTGCATTTTGGACAACGCCCCGCAGACGGAGTACTCCAAACGGTTGGAGAGCGAGTGTAGCAGTCGTCAGGCCTCGCGGGTGCGCTTCCATCCCGCCAACCTGAGCTATCGCATTCAGTCCTGTCCGTATATTCAGCTCTCAAAGCTGCCCCTGCGTGTCATGCACTTCTTTTGTGCCTTCGACGCCTTGGGCGATTCGGTAACCATCAGCAGCACGCGCCTGGAACAGGGCGACTGTCCCTTTACAAATTGCATCATGCGGAGTGGCAACTATCTCAATGCTGTGGAGCGGATTGTCCATGAGCACCGGCCCCTGCTGAAGCAACTGGTGGCCGATGCCCTACCCCAGGCGCAGTTCCAGCTGGAGGCCCATTTGGAGGGCACAGCCCTCACAGTAGACGTGTCGAACATTCTGGCCCTGACCCAGCAGCTGGAGGCCTATTGGCGGCAGATCCAGCAACCGCTAGAGTGCAAGGATCTGGGCAAACTGCTGGCGGAGAAAACCCTCCACAAGCTCACCGATTGGCGGGTCCTCTGCTCGGAACTAATCGACTACGAGGCGCACATATGGGAGGCAGAGCGCTCGCAAGAGTTCGAACCGGCCATGAACAAGGAGGAGCGCGCCAGGGTGCAAGACGTATTCGTGGTCCATCTGCCGGCCATTGGCATGCACGCTCTTCAGCAAGAGGATCATCAGCAGGCCAAACAGGAGGCGGATACCCTCCGCACCGCTCTGCTGGCAAAGGTGCTCAAGTAAGTAGGGACAGATCTGGGAAGCCGCTTTCCAACTGAATATTTCTCTTCCTTTCAGGGCCACATACTGGCGCTATACCGAGAACACCGTTGCGACGCTTCTGCCAGCATTAAAGGAACGGTGCTACGATGCCAATGCCATCCGACACATGGAGGACATACTCAACTACATTGAGCGGCAGCCATTGGGGGTGCCTGCGATGGAGCTGCGAGCGAGTTTTCCCCTGGGGGATTTCCTACTGGAGGCCCTGCATGCCCTCGCCGACCACGATCTGATCAAGCGCGTGGGCGTCGCCAGTCACATGTACGTGCACAAGCGCCACATACGCAACTGGGTGGTGCACACGTTCCACATCAAGCGGCTGGAGCGGGAAAAGGTGCAGACTCAGGTGGCGGCAGCACCCGCGACAATGCAGGCAGTCATTGGCCAAAAGCGCAAAGAGGAGGCGCAGCAGGAGCAGGCGAATCCGCCCAAAAAGATTAAACTGGCAGAGCAGAACAGCAGCGATTCGGAAAGCGATGAAGCGGCAGCGGAATCTTTGCCTAAGCGACCCAGGAGATCCACCAAGAAAGAACCATATGTGAACGCGGTGCGAAACGAAGCCTCTCATGATGCAATTGTGATGCGACCGCAGCCATGGATTCGACTGAATGCCTCGCTCAACCGTCGTGTCCTGGACCGCTGGCTGGGCGCCGTCCTCAGCGAGTGCATTTCCCGCATTGGATGCACCGTCCACAGTTTGTTTCTGCGCTTTCCGTACCTCGTGCCAGTGGATCTCATGTTCCTGCTCGAGCTGCTCGCCGATTTGGGCTGCCTTCACTTGATGGAGCTGCAGACGCACAAAGTCCACGTGGAGACCACGCAGGATGAACAGTGCGGTGAGCAGCCAGTCACCGAGCTGTATGAGCCTACCCTCACCTATATCATTGCCCACGGCGATGCTATCGGACGCCTCACCAGCTTCATCGGACGCAAAAAGTATAGCACCGAGTTCATTTAAGTTCACTGATCTGCCAGATATCAGAATCCATGCAGAAAATAAGACGGACGACCTTGTCAACCTTCTTTTAACCACTTAATAAAGTTGCTCCTCTCAAACTATCCCGATCCAATTCCAGACAACTGTTTATTTAAGCGGTGCACAATAATGGGGAACTTTTTCACATATTTCCACCATGGAAATATCGTTGGGCATTGCGGGCAATAGCAATAGAGAAATAACTTTGGTTGGGAACTTTTGAAAAAATCAAAAACGCGTTTGAACTTTTTTTTTAACTGCAAATTTGCATTCGCAGCGTTTAATTTGTTGTTTCACTTCTTTGTTTCCTTAAATCTTGTTAAAACATTAGCACTTCACTACCGTCTCTCTGCGTGGGTGTTGTTTACCGCTTGCCACCGACGCGGGGAGCAGACTTCTGCGTAACCTTGGCGGCCTTCGTCTTGGGAGCAGACTTCTTGGCGGGAGCTGGGGCTGACGCCTTCTTGGCTGCCTTGGTGGCGCGCTTCTGTTCCTTGGCGACCTTGATGGCCTGATCGCGCTGGGCCTTTCGCACCTCCGGCTTCATGTTGCGCTTGGCCATGATCTCGGCGAGGGAAGCGCCGACAATAGCGCGCTGGAATTTCTGTGTGCGGCGGGTGCGCTTCTTGGAGGCCTCCTCCTCAATGCCCTTGCGGTGCTTGCGGCGGTAGAGCACAGTCCAGGTAACCTTGCGCGGGTTACGCTTCATCAGGTAGGAGCGCTCGCACTTCTTGTCCAGGAAGGTGAAGCTCTACAAAAATCCCAACCGTTTGTTAATACTCTCATAATTAGCTCATATCTGATTTGTTTACTTACCTTGCCATCAATCTTGACCATGGTCTTGCCATGGCCAGGGTAGATTTTGTACCCGCTGAATGCACACAAGCCAATTCTGAAAGGAGATTACATTTTCAAAAATTTCATCAGTAAACATAAGTTAGCACTGTTAACTATCTGAAGCTGTATTTATCGCCGGCTTCGGTTCATTGATGCCTACGATTATCCAAAATTATTTTTGACACTTACTTCATCTTGCTGGGCGTAGAAAAGAAAAGAAACGGAAGTGTCAAACCATCGAGGGCACTATCGATAGTATCGATGTTTTGCTGCTAGCCGCTACTATCGATGGTTTTGCGACTATCATGATAGTATCGAGCTACTCTAAAATACGAAGACAAATTTGTAAACAAATCAATTGGTGACATCTAATTTTTACAATGGACAAGTTCCTAAAAGAGTTCAATGGAACATAAGATATGCACAATATTATAGAGCATCTATTAAAAGTTTTTATGTCATTTACACATGCATGGCAAGGAAAATGCGGGAAAAGAAGACATCGAGGTCCAAGAAGAACGTGAGCAGTTTTGCAGACCAACAATGCGGAAACAAACACTTAGTAACATAGTATATTTTGAGAGTATGAATAAACTGTTTAATTTTGAACAATCTTTGTATTATTTCGCATAAAAAAATGGCGTCTAATATAATTTTTTAGTAATAATTATTTGAGCCCGATACTATCACGATATTACCGATTGTTTTTTTCAAAACACTCGAAACTATCGATGGCTCAACTATCAATCGTTTGACAGCTCTATCAATCCGCGGATTGATAGGTAAAATAAACCGCCTGACCCCCAGAAATATACCGAAATATACCATGCCATTATCAAAATTTACCGTATATATACTGACGGATGCAGTGATATTCCTTAATTTTGATATTCTGTTTAATATTACAGGCTAGGTGGCCCTCTCAGTCCTAAACAAATAATTTGATCGAATTGCTCAACAAATTTTATTCAGGTTTGGTTAGTTTTCAGAGCTTTTTTTCATTGGATTGTTTACATAATAAGGTTCAAACAAAAACGGCCAAGTTATAAAATGTAAATGTTGACTAAATGTGACGTCATTGTTGCTGGTCAACCAAAATTCTTCTATGCGTATGGAATTTTTTATACCATATTTCCTTTAATATATGTTTAATTTGTTGTTCCAAGCTCCACTGAAACAATAATGATATATTATCCTACATTGACATGTTTTTTACCTATTAAGGCATATGTTTTTTTTTTATAAATACATTTATTCCGGTCGCGATACCTTTATTGATACTAGACGTGTACGCCGCCGCGCCACGCCGCCGCCGCCGCCGATTTTTTACTTTTCTGATGCGCCGCCGCCGACTCACGAAAATATCGGCGCGGCGGCGGCGGCGGCGGCGTTCGGCGTCATACATTTTTGTAAAGATGTGACAAATAAAAAAAAATTAAAAAATTTGAAATATATCGTATAAAGTTGCAAAATAGTCGTCTCGAATTATTCGAATAATTCTCATGTCTCATCTCCCATCTGCCTGTTCCATCTCTAGAACAGCTGTAGTATGGGAGCTTTTTGGCATCTTGCAAGTGACAACGACAACCGAAAGCAAATGCATTGAAGAGGACAAGGTTTTTTGTAAATTATGTTTGGATGAGCAGAAAAAGAACGACGAAACAATAATATTGTCATGGTAATAATTAATTTCACTTTTTTAAGTTCAATATAAGTGTTTGACAATTTTTTCAGTGCTAAAATTCAGTCGTATTCCAAGAACTGCTCAACAGGGAACTTAACTCGTCACCTTAAAAACGAACACAATGTTCGCGATATCGATTCTAGCACTTCATTAGCTACAGGTGGAACGATATCAAATTTTTTCAACAAATCCACGCCAATAAGGTCTCTAAGAGATAGTAAATGGGCGCTGGGACGAGAGCTAGCTTTGTGGATGGCTAGAGATCTGCTCCCATTTCATACAATTAGCCACAATGGAATTAAAGATTTCTTAACCAAATATAAAGTTGTGGTAACTGCTGATGATATTCCACATTACAAAACACTTTCAACAACTGCACTAGACGATGTGTATGAATGCGTTTTAAAAGCAGTTATACGGATAGTATCTGGACAAAAACACTTTGCCTTAACCTTTGATTTGTGGACGGACAATTATAGAAGAAGAAGTTATATCACATTTACATTCCATTATCTGTCACCGAATTTTGGTATGAAGCATTTCACGCTGGAAACAAAATACTTGTCAAAATCTCACTCCGCAAGTAATATTTTAACAGAGCTTCAAGATGTAACTCAAATTTATAATTTGCAAATGGAATCTAATTTCGTCGTAACCGACCAAGGTAGCAATATCAAAAAAGCTATTAATTTGGGGTGTTTAAACAACCATTTCTGCCTTGGACATGGACTACACAATTTGCTAAATGTAGATGGCTACAATTCCGTGTCGGAAATTAAAAACTTAATTGTGAAGTGCAAAAGTATTGTGAGAGCTTTACGATTTAAGACACATGTTTTAAGATGTCAAGCTGACGCACTTCAAAATGAAGTTTTGTCAAATATCGACAATTTAGAAGAGCTGCTTGCATCCGAAGACACTGAATGGGTTGACTACGATGATGATTTTGGACCGTTGGATGATGTTCCCTTGCAAACTTATAAAAACATTAACAACACTAATGACTTGCGAAGTAGTTTGGTGGACAAGAGGAATGTTTCTCTTAAAAACTCGGTCCCAACTAGGTGGCACAGCGTTTTAGCCATGCTTCACAGTCTTGGGTGCCAAAGAGCTGCAATAAATAAATTGCTCACTAGCAGCAACAAGATTGATTTGATACTATTAGAGACTGAAGTACAGCTTTTATATAAGCTTCGTGACTTCTTGCAAAAATTTAAAGACGCAGTAAATATTCTGTCTGGAGATTTGTATTCATCCATAAGCCTTGCGTTAGTTATCAGAACAGAGATCGTCTCAATTTTGGGTGAAGCTGAGAGCAATGAACCGCTTTCTTTGTTTGAAATGAAAAATAATATAAAGAGTAAATTGGATTCGAGATTCCCAATATCAGATATTCTAGTCTGCGCATCCTTACTAGATCCGCGATTTAGCTCACTAGATTGTGTGTTAGAGTACTGTAAAGACCAAAATTTAACAAAATCTGATTTTTTGCTAAAAATGTTTAAAGAGCTGATTGGCGATGTACAACAAGCTAGCGATCAGCAGGATAGTTTAAGTGAATCTCCATCTGTAAGCAAAATATTAAAGCTTGCTCAGCGACATTCTACAAATACCAAAAATAGCAATTTGGAAGCTGAATGCCATCTACTTTTAAGTTTGTCTTCATGCCAAGACGTTTTAAGTTTCTGGAGGGAAAAGGCATCTGCAATGCCCTTATTATCTATGCTTGCAAGAAAAGTTCTGTGTATTCCAGCAACAAGCACACCCAGTGAGCGAGTCTTTTCTATAGCAGGTCTAACAATAACACATAAACGGTCGCAGCTCAGTCCTCACAACGTTAATAAAATTGTTTGCAAAGAAAACTTATCTTAATTTATTATTTTTTTTTAACTTTGCAAAAAGAAATTTAGATCTCAATTCATATGTCAAATATAAATGAAGACTTAAATTTTTATATTAGTAAGGAAAGTCCATGAAGGACTACTGTTAATTTGTTGTAATTTTAATTTTTTTGAATACTTAATAAACACATGAAGTGATATTTTTTTAAGTTAAAAAAGAAAAGTGTTATTTATTTATTGCTTACGCCGCCGCCGCCGACTAGTTCGTCGGCTAAGCCGCCGCCGCCGATATTTTTTGGCCTCTACGCCGCCGCCGAAGCTAACACAGTCGGCGTAAACCTCTAATTGATACCCATAAGCTGCAAAGTTTCGTTAATATCTTTCTGCATTAATTGGAGCCTGAAATTACAAACAATATCGAAAGTCCATAATATCAATTTTCTTAAGGTATTCAGAATTTCGTGCCAAAGTAGCACAACAATGCTGCCTATTCAATTCCCCATGTTGATGAAATTTTTTCCATACAAATCAAATGTATCTTACGGGAACGCGTATGGAATGAATAAAAATTATGTCAGTATTTTTTGTGCGCTAATAAACAGATTGGAACTTGATTAAATACATATATCCAACGGACAAAAGTCAACTACAATTATATACATATACTATTATATGAGGGGTTCGGGGTTTTTTGTGGAATCTCCAAAATAGGCGGATTCTACCTAGATTTTGTTGTATATATAGTGGACTGAAATAGTTCAGTAAATCAGTCGAAGACAACAGGACAAAATGGATATACCCACACTGAGGACACTCTTTTTGAATAAGCACATATTCCTAGGCAGGCAGAGAATTGGACCATGGAAGAAACTTGTGCAGCTGGAAGAAGGAAAAAAGCACACAGAACAAATTAAAATACAACAAAACTACTATGATACAACAGAAACTAACTACAAGGAAAAGGAAAAAGGTAAGAGTTATGGAGAGAGGGTGGGGGATGTGCGTGCATTTGCAAATGTGATTTGTATTGGAGAAGCTGGAACATGGACTGGCAAGAAGAAGAGTGGCATTTACAAATGTAAACAAACACTCAGTTCCAACATATGGCAAACATTAAGGCACCGCAATCATCTAACTATTATTGGCAAGTAGAATATAGATTAATGGATTTATATAGAAAGAAAAAAAACACAGATACATGCAACTAAAAAAGAAAAAAAAATTACGTTTACTACGATCAAACGAGACAACAAGGTACGTGCAATCATTAAAATACATAAACACAACAGTTTTCCTTATAATTAATCTGGACTATGAAGCTGTCCAAGTCATCTGTATAAAAAACACTATGAATGATATCAATAATGATTGGATCAGGAGGGGATTTGCGGAAAAAGAACACAGTGTGATATACAGCAACGAATTATCCCCAATACACGACGACACGACAGACGGACAGACAGACATGGGTATATCGACTCGACTATTGATGCTGATCAAGAATATATATACGTTATGGGGTCGGAAACGTTTCCTTCTCTGTGTTACACACATCCACTTTTACCACAAATCTAATATAACCCTTAACTCTTTTTTGGGTGCGGGTATAAAAAAACTATCACCTCTATTACTAGGGGGGGACGGGACTCATTAATAACTCCAGGTTTACATCCGTTATCAAATGTTGCGGGGCAGCATGTACCGGGGGCGGAATTCATTCGAATTCGCGTGCGGTTCGTCTCAACTAAAATTTGCGACTGACTCAACTCCGCGAAAAGAAGTCGAGCCAAAAGGGAATTGAAATCACGCCACGCGACGGTCCCAATGCAAAAACGGAACGCATCGATGTATGCGTGAGCAGCTGTACATATATGTATAGGCGAACAACAAAAACAGAGTGTGTGTGTAGAAGAAGAGATATCCCACGCATGAGCTGCCAGATGTAATAACACTAGGCAACAAAATTAAAATTTTAATGAATTTTTGTTTTATTATGGTTTATTTTTGTTTTACCTAAACCTCAATCTTTAGCTTCGACTTACTGTCTGGGAACAATTAACTTTCAAATTAAAAATGGCGCGGTTATTTTTAACGAAATGTTGAATTTATAAACTCAGAAAAGGTCGAAAAAAAATATTTTTTGGGCATTCATATTTTTCTTTTATAGGTACATTAATTAGGCGTCGTTTTAGGTATCTACGGGTAAGCGGATAAGCTAAAATTGTTTGACCAATTCTCCGAAAATCAAAAATTACAACTAAAAATATCGTTTGCTGGCTGGTGTAATAATAATTGGAGTTGGAGGGTCAGTAGCTCCGTTCGGATGCTACAAGCGCAAGCCAATTCTGGTTTGCCGAACACACACACACATACAGCGGAAATTTCGCAAATTGAAAAAACCTGCGTATGGAAGCTTCGATACCCTATGTGTGTTCTTTAATATACCCTTAAATTTTAAATCTAATATATTCTATTAAGTGGCATCGAGTGAGATCTAAATATTATTTACGAAAGGTTTATTTATATTTCTGAATGGAAAAATAGTTGTTAATCAATAAGAAGAAAATTATAAAATATAGAAAATCAATCTGAAATACACTGCTTGCAAATCCAATAGGTGGCGGTCAATTTCAAATGTAATTCGCGATCGTAGACGTTGCAGTGGCTAATTTCTCAACATTTTGCATAAACAATAATTAAGAAATATCAAACAATAAAAGTTACCTTGTTATATGTCACAAACCGAGAGGCTCACAATTCCCTGTTAAAAGTGGTTCACATTTCCCCTCACCACTATTTTTACAAAATGGCCGCAAATAATACAAAATAAACTCCGCCATTAAACTTCATGCAAAATTATTTTGCAAGGTATAAAGATGCAAAAGTATACAGACACATAAACTATAGCACATATTTAAAAATGACAAGACAAGATCAAAACAAAAAATAACTATTCAGTGGCTGGGTCGGGGTCTTGAGAATCCGGTTCCAGCTCAAAGACTGTGCGCTCAATGGGAAAAACTCTTTTGGAGCGCTTAATAGCGACGAGGTCAATTGATTCGTTGAATTCCAACAGGGATTTGCTAAACTCTTGGTCTTCTTCAATGAGTTTGACGAATAGCTCGGGACTATTAATATCAAACTTTATAATGGGCTTGGGGGCATTCTCTTTAGATCGAATTTCCTCCTCCACCAACAGTTTGCTGGTCCGCTTCTTCAGCTTCATTTCCTCCTCGCGCTGTTCCAGAAGCTTGCCGCGTAAGATCTCCCGCTCGAAAAGCTGTGGACAGACAATGAGAAGGGGAAATAGGAAAATTTTCAGCATAATTAACCGCTGCCATGAGAGCCTTTTCCTTTCCGGTGGCCGTCCTCATGGCATCCTCGACGAGGAGCATCATTGTGTTACCGCCAGCCAGGCTCACGGTGAGCAGTAGGCCATCTGGGCGAAAAGCCACGTGTGTAATCCTCTGATTGAACTTAACAGACAGAATGGGTGTGCGATGGCTCATGAGCAGGTCCCAAAAGTCCAGAGTGCCCTTGTCGTCGCCGGTAACGAACAGCGAGCAGCGGCCCGTGCTCCAGGTGCCACAGGTGAGTTGATTCCGCTTCTTGAAGTACAGGGTGCTGGGGCAGTGCTTGATCTCCTCGGACCAGATGCGCCATCGCCAGTCGGCCACGCACAGGAAGTTCTTCACGAAGAACGGATTGCGCACGATGCTGCGAACGGGGCCGGCAAACAGCTGGAAATGGCCGAGGATTGTATCCGACGGAGTCACGGCCTTGCGATTGCCCACAAAAATGCAACCCATATCGCTGCCCATGATGTAGCGCACCGGAATGGTGTACTCAAACTCCAAGACAGTCACACCGTGCGAATCGGCCCGCTTCTGGATGTCCTTCGTGTTTGGTTCGAGCAGCAGATCCTGTATGGACATCATCATGTCGCGTGTGTCCCAGTATTTAATGGAGCCGTCGAGGGAGCCCGAGTAGAACTCCGTGTTGGACTTGGAGTGCACCCAGCACAGTGCCGAGGTGACCTCCCTGTGAGCCGCCTCCAGCGGACACATCTGCTTGGCCGGGCCGAACTCTGCGACATTCCAGAGGCACACCTTGCCCGAATACAAGCCTCCAGCCATGAAGGTATCGTCCTTGGGGCACAGCTTGGCCAGTGACACAATCTCCTTGGTGTCAAAGTAGGCAACCGGTCGCGTCGGATCTCTGATATCCCATAGATATAAGGCGTTCTCGTTGCCAAAGTCAAGTAACAGGTTGATTGGTTCCAGGCTCGGCTTCAATGGGCGCTTGCGGTTGTTAAATGTGGCCAAGAACTGTTTGGGGTTGTTGGGCATCCAATCGCACATGGTCAGTTTTCTTTGCGGAAGCCACAAGTCGTGGAAGATGTTAATGCCGCGGGCCGCGATCTTCATCTTGATGCCACTGCCCAGGTCCTCGTCCAGGTCAGCGAAGAAGTCTTGATATATGTTTATGGCGTTGTTTTGTGAGCTCATCGACATGCAATCCCGCAGCAAGTGGCCCACCTCGACGCCCCAGTCGTCGTCGCGCTCCACCTTCTTGCGGTACCGCAGCGTGGACTCTTCGTCCAGTATATTCACCTCCTTCACATTCCAGCCGCCCTCGTAGTGGTACATGCCGTGATGGTCCAAGGACACGTTCTCTGTTAGCGCAGTGCTCAAGGCCATCTGCTTGGCCAACTGAGTCTTCGTGTTGCATGGGTTTCCCAGCACGTACTTCAGGCGGAGGCGTCCACTTGGGTGCACGCTCAGCAGCAGCTCGTTGCGATCGGTGAACAAGCACTGCCGCCCGAAGCGGCTGCGCTCCCGTGAAAATATGAACTGATTTCCCATCATTCCCATCATGGTTAGGCTTCGTACAGCTCCTGCTGTTGTACTTTACAAAATATATATAAATTTGATTCACAACAAAAAGGCACGGCACTGATCTGTTTGATACTGATGTGAGTTCTTGGCGTCGGACGTTTGAATTGAAGTTTGGCGCCAAGCCATCAAGCAGTTGTTTTTAGTGCTGTGAAGCGTTTGAAAATTACTCAAGCCAGGGATGGAGAACAAAGTCACTTGTTAAAACAGTAACCGTGACTTTTATTGTTAAAAATATATGTGAAGAGTAACAGAAGTAACTGGTTGGTCCGGTATATTTCTAATGGTCTGGTTTGGCGGCTTTTGTTTGAACCTTATTATGTAAACAATCCAATTAAAAATAGTTCTGAAAACTAGCCAATCCTCAACAAAATTTATTTAGGAATTGGATAAAATTATTTTTTTAGGGCTGAGAGGGCCAACTATCTAGTAATATTAAACTGAATATCAAAATTGACGAATTTTATATCACAAAATATCATAGTACGGCAGCCCGCAGCAACTAAGAATTGCACGAGTCTGGCAGCGCCACAAAAACGACGCCACATTCGTTTTATGTTGTTTTTGTTTGAACCTTAATATGTAAATATTCCAATAAACAGGACTTCTGAAAACTTGCCAATCTTGTAGAAAATTGATGTATCTATCGGATAAAATTATTTGTTTAGGGCTGAGAGGGGCAACTAGCTAGTAATATTAAACCGAATATTAAAATTGAGGAAATAAGTCGTCGCGTCCATCGGTATACGGTATTTGGCGGGTCTGGCGGTATATTTGATCGAGAAATCCGCGGTCACACTAATCACTAGTTTAGCCAATTTGGCGCATTTAATATGAATTAAGTTAGTATGAACTAAAAACTGTAGCCAACTTCAATATGGAGAGTGTTTGTTGAGTGAATTAAAAGTGTGCAATGAATTACGGAGCGTGGAGACATGGACCTGCAACAGTTTCTTTCCTTGGAGCGCAAGCAATTGCAGAAGGATCGTGAGCGTCTCTCCGCGGCGGCGGCCCAGAAATGCCCCGCCGCCCTGCTAATGCAAAACACCGACTACGTGCCAATGCAATGTCAGCGCAGGGCCAAGGAGTCCAATGAACTCCTGTCGGAATCGTCTTCCCTAGCAACGGGCAACCAAAACTTAAGCGAACAACTTCACTTGGACTTGAGGCGCCTGGGTGGGTCAGACTCGCCGACCGAGGGGAATGCCAGCCCATCCAAATCGACTAAGGAATTTGCGAATCAGCGTCAGCTGCTCGTCGGAAGCGCCCGTCAATACAAATCGCCAGATGTGTCGTCGCGACGCAATTTGGAAAGCGGGCGACCGCTAAGTGAGAATCGCTTGCCAATCCGGCGCACGGTGAGTAGGGGGAGGCCACAATTGGGGATTTGACGAGCACGATGTGCTCCAGAATGTGTGTTGCGCTTCACTGGCGCATCGCCAATTATCTGGAAGATTGCCATAAATGTGCGAAATTCGTTTCTCTACGCCTCGTTGAGCCACTTGAAGAAATCGGAAAACTGAAGCTCTGCCAAATATCTTTCGTAATCTTCTTGCAAGTATCAGTTGCATATTAGATTTCGTAGTGTTCTAGCCTCTGGCCTTCTGTGTTCCCACCTTGGTGAGTCTTCTAAGGGCCATGTCCATCTGTTTGTGGACTGCATGCGCTTCAAACCGTGCTAATGCTCCCCTAACTCTGACCAAAGATCTTCTCATGAGATGCACGTGTGCATCTATAATATATCATTCCTTGGCATGCACATGGAATGATTAAAAAATTACAAAATTTCTATAAGTTACGTTCATGTCTCTCTAGAGATCGTTCCACGTGCAATTAATTTAAATACAAAGCAACTGGAATATTTGTATAATTTTTTAAATCGTTGCAGCCATTGCTGTCAGTTTGTTGATAGATTTAGCGCTTTGGTGGACTTGTTGTTTGCCGCCAGCTCTCCCACCTTTTCACTTTTCAATTTCCATATGCATTATTTATTGGGTTATTGGCGAGTCGTTGCCTGTCCAGGTCCGCATCCTACCTACCCTCTAAGTTTAGGGGCCTGTGATTATGGCGAAATTAGTTGGGCATTTTAATTATTCAGCATTTAGTTGTTTGGACTTTACTGTGCTTTGTTGCGTTTTCGGCGTGGCCTCGTTTCCTTCCGCTATCAATGTTGCATGCCCCATTGTTGGTGGTTCGGTTCTGCTGTTGGCGCCCCTTCCGTGCTCCAGTTACCTGCTGCTGGCTCTGCTGTGGACGAGCCATTCGTTTAATGAATTTACTGGCACCGCTCTCAGCTCAGTTGTAATTTGAAGCTCGTTTGTTGCGTTTGCTTCTGTTTTGGCCTGAACTTGAAATTGCTTTGCATACATTATATTTTGTTTGATATATAAATGAGGTATACATACACGAGGTGAGGTGAGGGGGGCTTGCCCCGGATTACGGGCAAATCAAAACCATCGAACGGAACGGAACCAAATGGAATTGGGGGGCCCTCTAATTGACTTAATTTGGCCATGCCGCGAGTTGACCCAAAAATCAAAGTGACGCAAAACAAACAATGAAAAATTGAACGTTTTCTAAAAATATTCTAAATAACGGTACGGCAAACCAAAACGGAAAATTAGAAATCGCATGATTTGCATCCAGTGGTCTCTTGAAATAATCATAGATATCGCAGACTACCCAAAGATAGTTTTTTGCCATTATATTTAAGGTTTAATGTTCAGGTAATTTTCTGCTCGAAATTTTGTACAGTGGTACGTACAGTCCAGTCCCCTCATTCCCATTCTTTATGTTGCTCTTTTATTTTCCTTTTGGCGAGTGATTTAAAGTTTGATTAGAAATTAGGAGAGCCCAGTCATGCAATTCTGTTGACAAAGTGCCCAGGTGGCCCGAAGTGGCTTTTTGTTCTGCCGACTCACTTCCTCGTTGAGGTGGGCATGGTGTGGAAATCCATGTATGTACAGTACGTGTGTAGACCACGACACACCCAACTGTCAGCTCCGCCTTATGGCGCCTCTCATTAATTGGTAATGATAATGGATTTTGGAGGTGGGACAAAGCGTTAGTTCGGTTCAGAGAGGAGCTCAAACGAATGACTTGGCTGAACTGAATAGTTATTTCAACTACATATGTATATTGTAGGTATATTTAACGCTTGCAAATTTAATTCGATCATAGGTTTCACTTTGATTAGTTATTTCTGATCCAAATACGCAGTTTAATATTTAACCAGCGAGATTATGCCTTTTTAATGTGATCTACAATAAGATTTTCCGATGAGTATTAAATCTCCTTCACAAATGAATCCTTTAGCTAAGTTCATTTGCCCCAAGGGTTTGGCTAGAGGCCAGTTGAACAAACTTCTGAATTAAATGCGGTTGAACTGAGAAACCCGACTCTAGTAACGACTGTGTGTGTGTGTACTCTGATGGTACTGTGAAAGAAAGTCATGACCTGGACAAGGTTGTGAACAGTCAGGGCTTAATTAAGCTACATTTCGAGTGTAGGATAGCTTGAGGTCACACCATCACGAATGAACCATTCAAAATGTATACTCTATGTGCACTCTCTTAAAATAGGGATGAAATTCAATTTAAATTCCATCGTCTGTCCTTGAACTTACGCGTGGCGACAGATGGATCCATTCCAGTTCAGCTTCGACACGCATTTACATTAGTTTTCGCACTTTTTGTACCCCAAATGGCAGAAGCTGGCACTTAGTTAACCCAATTTGGAACTAGCACGCAACCGTACCCAATGAATGGGCGTAGTAAACAGACCCATTGAAGGGAGTACTGTGGAGTACATCGATGTGTGAAAGGTTCTTATGAGAATCCACAATCGGTATTTCTAAGGGGAAAATCTTAATTACATGTAAAATATAATTTGAAAGTGAGTGAGCGTCTCAAGTGAGTGTTCTGTGCACCCCACTGTAGTCAGCTCCTTGGATCGACTGCGTAAGCAGAACCAACTCCAGACTTGCCACCATTTTTGCCCCACCTGAGATGAACTGCGTGACCCGAAATAGCTCTAGACGAGCCACGCCACCCGTTCCACCCCTTTGGGATTTCAAGTCTTCATTTTGATAGTTTCCTTGACCTGAATTAAAGTATTTTATTATGTATGTATGTTGGTTCCCCAGCTAGGGCCGTAAATGTGCCACTCTGAATATCCCTCTTATTTGCAAATGGCTCTTAATTATGCTTGGCTCTTCTCTCCGGCCACTCAAATGATGAACACGTTAAAAGGAGCTTTAATTAAGTGGCCATCATGCTGGCTAATAGAGAGTGAAGCGCACTGCATGCAGCCAATAAGTAGAAGTGGAGCCTACAAGAGCCAGAGCAGGCTGAAACAGCTGGGCCTGGTTGATAAAGTGCCATTGGCTGAGCTACTCTCAGCCGAGCACGGAGAGCGCCTTTAGTCGTGCTACGAACGAACCCTTCGTCTGGTTTATGTTTATTTTTACAACGCGGAACCGAGGTGCTAGGGTATACTTACATGTTATTTAGAAATAATGGGAATAATACTAATAATGTAATTTGGTACTTTAATTTATCTCATGGTAAATTGTTGACGCAACCTTTTGATGGGCACACGAATTATTGATCAAGACTTTATTTATTTGAATTTCTCTCTTCAGTTTTACTGGGAATATTTCCATTCGAATACCCGGCTATTGACTATGGTGTCCGGATTGTATATAATTTTGTTGATGCCATCGGTGCACGCGATTTGCGACGTTTACGGCATAAAAATTATGTGCAAAATGGCAGTAGGCATTGTGGAGTGTTCGCTAGAGCAGCTCCGGCTCCTGCTCCTGCTGAAAGTGTTGCTGACCCCAAAAACAGAGGGAAAACGGAGCTAGAATAATTTGCTGGCTTTGCTGGCCTTATCGGCCATACGAAAATGTACACAAGCTTCTTGCTGGTGGTTAGTGGTGCCGAAAAAAAAACCTAGAAAATTAAGAAAAGAAAGCGCGCGACAAAAACTACATACATATATAATAAATATGGATATACATACATATATATTTGTAGGCCGCCCACTCACATTAGTTGTTTTTTTCTCTTTCCCGCGCAGGATGATATGGAGCAATGGGTTACGGACACATTTTATTCGTATTTCCCCGGCTTTAACAATGAAAATCAGAAACGGCAAACTTATTTGCGTGAGCGACAGCGCGAGAACCAGCAGAACTTTCTCAAGCACCAGGTGAGAGATTGCCGTGAAAATATATCCGATTGTGTGCGGAATGCCTCGTTATGGTAATCAGTGTGAATTTTACGAGCTCGCGACTAATGTTTGTACCATTGCAGATGCTTCATCCGCCGGTCACAAAGCATCAGCGACCGGGACAAGTGAGGAAGCCATCGCAACCGCCTCCTGCTCCAGCTCCAGCTCCAGCTTCAGGTCCAGCTCCTGCTTTGGCTTCCACCCAAGCGCGTTCCAGCGAATCCAGCACAAGCACCTCGAATCACAGCACCACGGACAAGACTGACTTAGAGTTAATTGTAAATAGTAACCCGAATTATGTGCCGCCCAAAGTCCGTTCGACCACCACACGTAACAAGCTGCTGCAGGATCTGGGCCACGTGGAGCTGTCGAATATTGTAACGGGCGACGGGATTATGGAGCGTAATCTGCGTAGCGCCGAGCTGGAGACGGCCCGCAAAAAGGATTATCAACGCGATCTTATGCTACAGATTGAGGAGAAGCGCCGCTCCATCGAGCTGCTCAGGGAGAAGGAGCGTCGACAGGAGGAGGCATTGACCAGGTAGGTTTTTGTATGGATTGTATGGATCCCTTTGTGAATCAGAAATGTTAAATGTATTTATCTGCTTAGGCGTCTGGAGACACAACTGAAAACCATACAGCTAGAGGAGCAATTGGAAAAGGAGCGTCTGCGTATTGAAAAGGTAAAATCAAATTTGAAATTTACATTATTTGCTTGAAGAAACCCAATATTGGATAATAGCTCATGCTCATGCTGTTAATCGTAAGACCAAGCTGCCCTTTCATGCCTTAAATTAAACTTATAGCGTCTGGCTATAGGACACAAGTAGATAGTGGAGCACAGGATTGGTGATCATACAATCATGATCACCTTTCGACCATAGGGGGATTTGGGGATTTTTCTCCGAGCCTCTTGGACCGGCTTTAAGGCGAATTCAAGCTTTTCACTTGAGCTACTTTCACTGGAGGAAGAATTTCCACTAAATAAGTCTACAGATAAGCCTTCAAATGTGCGTTTTGTATACAATTTCGATGGTTTAAATTGTTTACTTATGTCTACAGATATTCTATGAGTCATTACTCATATTATGGGGTTAATCACAGCTCAATACCGCTGCCTGTTGCATATTTATTTGGGTCAGCAGTGGATTTCCACTATATTTTACAATCTAAGCGCCTTATGGCCCACTATTTATATGGGGTCACTCGTTCGATTAGTATAAATCGTACCCATGCCCAATTGGCGTGCCTGTTTATCCCAAAAATTCTCCAGTTCTTCTGGGCTGCTATTCATTTAGTGAACCAGGAACTATTAATATACCTTTTGGGCTGGGCTGGGGGAGGGGAAGCCAAGGGAATATGGAACCTTGAATGTATTTATACAGTTAGATTTTGATGGCGTTTCCTAATATCCGATTAAACTTAATAGCCCTTGATTGGTATTACCATTAGATTTATGATCTAAGTCCTCGTGATACAAACACCGTTCGACAGCCAAAGTAAATTGTAATTGATATTGGAGCATTTGATTTGAGTTAGCCCCGAGTGTTATCGCATCCAGTGGCAGTTGGCAGTGGGCCGTTAATTGAAATTTACTCGACTAATCCGCTCTATATTTATTTCCCTTATTGTGCTGTCAGGCTCGCATCGACTCGGAACACAACCGCTTGATGCGAGACCAGTTGCTGGCCAAGCTGGAGCAGGACGCACAGCTGCTGCTGGTCAAGGAGAGCAACAACCTGGCCGAAACGCCAAGATCGCATCGGAGTAAAAACATTCACAACAGCACCAGTAATATTAGCACCGAAGCAACCGCCAACAAGGTGTATAAATACTTTAGTAACTCTGCACACCACGAATACAGACGTGGCCAGCCGCTGCCGCCGGCCGTTGAGCTGGACTTTGAGCTGCCGCAAATGGCCAAGATCGAAAGAGAGTGCTTCCATCTGTGCGAGAAGATATGCCCGCTATGCGATGAGCCCCTGAAGAGCTACGAGAGCTGCTGTTTGCGTTGCCAGCGAAAGCTGGCAGTCAAACTGAAGCAGACGGAAAACGGCAACGAGAAGCAGACGCAGGAGCAAAACGGGAATGGAATGGACGAGCAGGATCCAGAGGACGACCCCCTGCACAACTGTGAGAGCAGCTATGCGCTGGTCTGCCACAAGTGCGAGCGCCTGTACGCCATGTGCAGCCAGTGCCTGGCCAAGAGCGATGTGTGTCGAGCGTGCCAGCGAGAGCGGAATGTCTGCATGAACTGTCGCCGCAATTTGTGTTCGTTTTGCCTCGAGGAGGTCGCCTGTGGCCGGAACACCGAACGCACGCATGTCAATGAGACGGAGGCTGACAGAGAGCCACATTCGGACAATGCCTTTCGAGTGCTGGAATTGAATTTTGCAGTGCCAGCAGCCAAGGAGTCAACGGCCAGCAACCTTATGCCATCCGACGGGTCGCCTCCCTACTCCGTCAACATTGCACGCAACTCTGTGTTCCATTCCGACTACAAGCCGACGCCTGTCAAGCCATCCTTTGTGGAGGAGCTGCCCACATTTTCGGGGAGTGCCAACGCAAGCCTTGAGCTGGACAGCGCTGACGAGGAGGCCATGGAGCGTGTGCGAAGGCAAACGGATCAGCGCTTATCGCGCTATCTCCAGAACTACGGAGATCTGGCTTCCAAGCAGCAAAAGAAGCTCATGAAGCAGGACCAGCTGCAGCTGCACCGCAGCAAGAGTGAGTCCCGTCATCGTGGAACTCAAACGACGCCGCAATCTTTGGCCAGACGGGATGTGGTCCTGAGGGAGGCTCCGGGTCATAATCTCTCGATGCCGCTGCTGCGTGAAATGCCCAAAATGACGCGCAAGGAGACGGGCGCCACACAGCCCATGAATCCCGGCCAGCGGAGCATCGACAGTCTCAAAAAGCGTTGGGAGGTATGTTTCTTAATATTTCAGCTATCGAATAGTTTGGGAAGGAAAAGGAAAATTCTTATTTGTATTCTGCAGGTGCCTGCCGTGCAAAAGTTCACCGTTTCCACCTCATCGCCCAAAATCCTTACTCAGGTGGGAGCCATCCGCAAACAGTTACAGGCTGCCCGATTCTTTGAGGATGCTGCCGAACCCGATGATTATTGAGGGATTACCAACACATAGAGATGCAAATGATGTCTTCGTTTAGATTTCCACACGTTATTTATCAGAGTAAAACGAATTTAATTTTCTTTGAACTCTTCACCTTTTGAGACATTTGCCATTGCTCGTTTTTGGTTTCGTGGATAACTTATTTAGTAGTTAATGCTTAGTCCTATAGTAAGCTGATTCCAAGTGCTTCGGCTGCTTCAGGCAGCACACTAATTGCATAGGCCATTCGGTTTGTTCAATATTTTTTTTGGTTCTTTTATACAAAAATATTTAATAGCCACAGATCACTGATCACTGATGTGGTAACTAGAAAGTTGCAATTAAACAAAAACTTATCGTGAATAAACATTTTTTAAAGGTTTATAAATAATTGTTATCTGCGTGGGTTTTTTTTTTTTAATTTTAACTTTCGTTTTAATGGTTTTCTTTGCAAACATTTGATCGTATATTCAGTTTACATAGTTATGGCTTTAGTTAAGGTTCATTCCATTTCTATATCTTCCGATTCCATTGACGTCAATTCGTACATCTTCCGCTATCGTGTCGTTACTCATAATAATTTATTCGATGGATTTAAAGTACTTATACAATGAATTTATCAGGCAGTTCGTTGACTCACAATATGTTGATATTTATGGCGATTTTCTAACCAGATTGGGTTTCGAGTTTAAGCAACCCCCATCCCCGTGTAACAAAGATTATTCAACGATTATTGATTGCTTGTTTGGTTGTTGCTAAGTCCGATCGGATTGCAGCACAACTCCCGGAATTCACTTGACCAGATGTACGATTTCGGGAGCGGCCATTCGATAGCTGTCGTGGAACTGACCTAAAAAGCGACCAGAATTTTGAACTCTGCGCTCAGTCGTTTCGGGATAGAGGCGAAGATAGTTCTCCTTTGGATTTAGCTGCCGTTCATTGTAGCACTTGGACTCGATTCATTGGATATGTTAGAGCTCTGCTTGCGAATACAGATTCTTGGATTTTCGCTGAAGTTGGCGCATGGATGGCCATGGTCAATTGACGTTGACATTATCGAAAGAGAGTTGCATTGTTCAGAGATTGATGATTATCGTGACATTGTGGTCGTTCTAAAAACCGACGATGTTGATTCTGCTGTTTGTGGTTCTGCTTAGGGCTGTTGATGCTTCGTAGCTGCCGTGAACGCAAAAATAAATTCTTAGTTTATAATATGTTATAAAAGCAAAAAAAACCTCTTTCTTCTGCCTGTTGCACATGTAAATCTACACGCATTGACTTTACTTTTACCCTTTACTCTTTGAGTACCTGGGTATAAAAAATGAATCGAAATTTTATGTTGCAAAATACAACTTTTATTTATTTTTGCCATTTTCTGCTCTTGAATGCTTGTGGATGCTCATGATCTCATCACCAGTGGACGGGATGGGGTGCGTAGACGGGGGCGTACTGCGAGTAGGCGCCCGCGGATCCGTAGCTTGGTGCCGGAGCACTGCATGGGACAGGAGCCAGGTTGGGCTGGCAGCTGAACAGATAGTTCTTTGGGCAAGGTGGGGCCGGAATGGAAACCGGAGCGGGGGCTGCGTAGGCAGGGGCAGCGGGTGCGGCAGCGTACGCCGGAGCAGCTGCGGGGGCAGAGTAGGATGGAGCTGCTGCCGGCTTCTCGTATCCACCGCCGTAGGCTGAGCCCACGGTCTGCCTCTTCTCGGCGGCAACGGATGTGGCCAGCAGGCACACGGTGGCGATAATAGCGATGAACTTCATTTTGATTGTGTGTTGATTTCTTAGACTGGCTGGAAGCAGACTGCGATGTTCTTCGGCTGGCCCCAACAGCTTTATATGCTGGATAGCTTGTCGGCTGTGGCTCGCGGAAATTGCCGAGTCAAGCAGTGACCCAAGTTTTCCGCTTTACCCAATGACCCCCTCCACTGGCAGAGTCTACTTTTTGCACGGCCAACAGAAAGCGACATTTACAAATATTTCCTCCACTTATTTGTGGGCCACAGAACTTGTCAAGTCAACAATCTTTCAGTTGGACTACCCTCAAGCCAGATTTGCAAAAATAAATTGATGAAAAATTAGGTACTTGGGCTAAAAAAAGATAATGACCAAAAACAGGCGGACTAAAACATTTTTGGGGATTATTGTTCAGCAGTTTACGGAAATATTTATCTATTCAACAGATAACAGATTCAACAGATTAAGTTTTCTGAATTTGTTTATTGAAATTTTTGAAATTCTGGAGCAGAATATTTCAGCAACCAATGGGCTGCCGCTGTCGCCGCTGAGCCGAACGAGATAATGCTGTGCTTCCATCTATCACGACATTTGTAACTTTATTCGAGCGCATAATCTGCCCTACTGTTGCCTCTATGATTAGGGCTTCACGTCGCTAGGTGACCGCAGTACCACGCACCTCAATCCGAGTGCACGAGCTGAAGGATAGCCGCGTGGAGCGTGGAACCGGGATGAGAATAGGCAGTAAATATGCGATAGCCATAAACTGGAATATAAAATATAAATCATCTTCAAATAAAAACCATCCGATTCGTGCCATGCTTAGAGTGTTTCGTTTCGCTGCCCCGCTTTAAAGTTCCGAAATGGGCCATGGTCTCCCAAGTGGAGCAGCAAGTGTCAGTTAACTCTTCGTCGAGGCCTCGTTTTGGCCATGTTGGGGGATGGGCCATGTTGCCCTCCTCGATTCGAGAGCACGTGTATAAGAGAGCGCATGGTGAAAAGCTGCGGCTTTGTGGTGAAAGCTCGGGGTCTAATATTTAAATAAACAGTTCTTATATGAATTTGTGAGTAATAATTGTAAGAAATACAAAAATGAATAATTTTTAAAATGCAGATTATTAATTTTATAAAATTTCCTCTAAGGGTTCTAATGGGGCTACAAAAAAAAGTTCAAAGAACTCTGTGTTAAAATGTTTTGGATTTCATTTAAATCATTAAATTTTTACGAACTTTAAGAGACTGTTTTACTAACGAGTAAAATATTTGTGGACTCATTTTAATCCCTTTATGAAGTATACAAAGTTCTCTACTGCCTTTGGCTCAATTTCATTTGGACTTTTTTCTGGCGATGTGGTTGTTGCGTCCTCTGCCGCCAGCTGCAGCTGCTGGTTGCTCTCTTGGTAATACTTCTTTCTGGGCCTCAAATTGGTTGTACTTTCGATTTCATTATCCAGTTTTTGGTATGTGTCTTGTCTCCTTTTGCTCGTCCTCCAATAGGTTACGGTACACTTGGAGTAGATTGCGTTCCTCGGAGTGGTCCAGCCAATCCAGCAGTTCGCCAATGGTCTTGTCATGCCTGTGCGCCATTTGCTCATCGAAGGGCGGCTGCTTCCGGGTGGCGAACTGGGCACGAAAGACAGTCTGGTTCTTTGTGGGCGTGAGACTGACACGATACCAATGCTGATCCTTAGGATCCTGACCGAGCAGCGCGTACTCAAAGTCCGGTGGCGACGTCGTGCCCTCAGTATCCAGACCCAGCTGATTGGTCGTAGAATCCGTACTGCTGTTCCTGCAGTCAGTTGGTGTTGGTGGGCTTTGGCTGTGGGTAGATTGAGTTTTCTTACTTGCTGCTTTTATTATTTGTTATTTAAGGGAACACACCCCAATTTATTGTATCTGGCTACGTCGGTTGGCAGCGCGTTCCCGCCGCTGGCCAACAAAACGAGGAGAATAATTGCCAGGTTTGGTTTGTTCCACATTTCAACAGATTTCGCTGAGTGAAGCAAATTTTCAACTGCACTTGGTTATATACGATAGATAGTTTTTTTTTATATATTTCTGTACGATGGGCTTCGTGTTCGGCGTAGCAACCGACAATGATTTCGATTCCCCAAAACGGAACTTCTCAGATATCTATCACTCGCGATGGAGCGTCACGTTTGTGGTGTGGATTACAGTCTCAGTTATAACAAGAGCTCGTAGGTGCACTATAGTTGATATTGCGAATCTTAAAAGAAATATAATCAATATAAAGTAATATTAACTTCATCTGAACACACACAAATCAAATCATTTAAGACAAACTGAATGTCAAGCAAAAGGTACAGAAAGGAAAATCCACCAGTTGCATGCCGTTCGTGAGTGCAAATAGCCACAGACAAACACTTCAAGTGTTTCCGCATCTGCAGACACAATTCAATGGGAATTTGAACAGTGCAGGTCCAATTACTACAAACCGGGAATTCGAGAACTAAAAAAGAAGATCGGTCACGGTTTCTGGGTTTAGGGGTGAGGCCGATTCGATCAGTGGCAGTGTGAAAATTAACTGCACAAAGATATAGATTAAGATATAGATCTTTTAAATTGAAATTATATTATATCTTGGGTGGGTGATTTGAAGATTTTCAAGGTACTTGAGTCCCTCACTTATTCCCAGATAATAAAAAGACCCAAAGGCATGAGGTTAACTTACGAGTATTCTTACTTTAAGTGAGAAGTTCGCTAATGAATAATAGGTTCTGCTAGAATAGTTACATTATTTTCCATTCGATTCAATTCGAAGCTCAATTTTTGCATATTTTAGTTGCGTTTCGTTTATTTTCTAGCGAATGGAATTGTGGCCTCTTGAATTTGTTTGGGGAAATGCCACTTACCAAAGTCACTTCCTGTCTGCTTTCTCTCTTCTCACCTGCCTCTTTTGCTCTCTCTCTCCCTCTGTCTCTCTTTCTGTGGGGCTTCTGTGGCTCTCCCACTGGTTGTTGCAGCATTGCCAGCAGGGGGAAAAGCTATTATCAGTGAAATTGGCGACCTTTCTAATGTGGGTAAACTCTGAAGGATGTTAATCAACAAAACTACTTTCACTTTGGCACTGACCCGCTCTTTCACTGGGCCTGCGCCCTCGGCGGCAGCGCACTTTCTCTCTCTCTCCTGCTCTCTCTCTCTCTCTCGGCAGCAGCTGGAGCAGCACAGCTGTTGTGGGGCCTTTGCCGATGCCAAAGCCATTTTGCGCGCGCACTTTCCCAAGGAAAAAGGAAACCCGAGACGCATATCACACATACGCATACGGTGGTACGCCGAAAGCAACTCTCTGGTCCTCTGGCTCGACACGACTCGACCCAACTCTGCACACTCAGTAGACAATCTTTCCTCATTTCGTTAACACACTCACAGCACAAAAAATCAAACCAAATACAGAAGAAACAGCAACAGTAGCTAAAACAAATCCCCATAAATATAGTTAAAATATACATATACCTACATATTCGTAATTCATCGTGCAAAAATATAACCTAAAGAGCTTGGATGTTTCTGTGTGTTGTTATCAAAATAAAAAGTGTTAATATGTTAAATAAATTAAACTAAATTCAATTAAATTATATTAAATTAAATGCCGAAGTGCGTGTCAAGTGCAAATAGCAATATCCTCCTCGTCTCCTTCGTCGTCATCTTGTTGTTCTTGTGGCTGTCGTCGCAGTAACTTTAACCGAATGTATGTAAAAAAAATGTATCTCTTATCAGGCAGCTTCGTTTATGCGTGCCACTTTAATGGCAAACAGCCAGAAGCGGCCTGATAAAATTACCCACTAGAGACGCGGCCAAACTGCGGGAATTTAACAATTTCACTTTTCTTTTATTTTCGCTTGTCACCGAAATGGCTCACTTCTGTATCAGCTTTGTGGGCTGAGTAATTGCAGTGTTTGGTCCCCAATAATATTCGTATTGAAACTTTATAGTCAATATAATTGATGGGCTCTGTGTCAATTATTTCGGACTGCTCTCAGTGAAGGATACTTTGGTGCTGAGTTTGTTTGGCCATCGGATCGGATTCTGTTTCATTGAGGGAACTCTAGGTGAAAAATAAAGTTATTTGCGAGCCACACACATTTTTTACGAGAAACTGTTGCAACCTGAGATGAAGAGTATAACAAGAACTAGTTGCGTCCTTTTTAAATAGCTTTAAGCAATCACAGGTGTGGCACGATCTACCCAGAAATTATTAAAATTTGGACAATCTTTGGTTAACATCTTTTGCGTGGTACTACATACTCGTATATTTAAATATTTAAATGTTTATTTGGTTAGGAGGGGCTGTGTTAGCTGTGTTGGAGTTTGTTTGTTCAGTAGGTGAGTACTTTAAGTGTTTGAAAGTTTTCCTTTCGGTTTCGGTTTAAGGCTTCTGGTATTATCTAGTATTTTTAATTTAATTAAACTTGTTCAGCGGCCGTCCGTACGTCCGTAAGTCCGTTCGTTAGTTCATTCGTTGCCTGCGTGTTCAAGTGGCGTGTAAAGCAATTTACCAACCCACAAACTTTTCGTTGCCGCTGCCGTTTAATTTTTAGCGCAAAACAAATAGGCAATTCTTTTGCAGGAGCCAAAAAAGAAAAAAAACAACAACAGACTCTGCGAACCAGAAAGTCCTTCAGAATGAGCTGAGTAGAGTTGAGCTTCATCTGAGTTTTCGTTGAGTTAGTTAAGCGAGAGAAAAAGTTTTTCGCCTGCCCATTACTTTCGCTTTTTGCACTGCAGTGTTCTGCTTGCTCCTGTCTAGGTCGAGTCGGGGGCCCCCCTTTAGGTGTGTCTACGGTGTGTATGGGGGCGCGGACTCGTCCTTCAATAATTTTGCCGTTAGCTTCACTCTTACACAACCTCTGTTGGGGCTAGCTAACTTGCTGCTCAGACTTTTAACATTAAAACTGTTGAGATACGACGCAAAGAGCAGATACAAATGTACCTATATAGCATGGGAGGGGAGAATTTGTGATGAAGGTTTAGCAGATTTTATAACATTTAATGAATTTATTTATATTTTGGCTTTAAGTATTTGAGAACAACAACAACAATAATAGGTAACTTATTGACTGGCTTGTTCTCAAATAATTGTGTGTTTATTGTGTTGATTTTATATATGTTGAATATTTTAATTGGTAAATAAAATTTACTTTTGCCATATTTATGCTGACTGAAAGCACTTGAGAAACTGATTGTACTTATAAATATAATATGCAATCGTTTTGAAAAATATTCGTGGCATGCTCATCTTTGATACTCGTAGAGATTCTAGGATTCAAGAACTAACGTAGAACAATCTGACACTAGAGTAGCATCAGAGGGCGGAAGTTTTTTAGTGTTTGGCCATCGGCCATGTTGATAGAGTTTGTGGGTGCGTGACGTGTGGGGTGGTTGGGTGCGCTTGAGCAGGAGAGAGATACATAGAGAAATAGAGACAGAGAGAGGGCGATGGGTGACTATAAAAAAAGGCGACCCACTCGGTCCGGACTCCGGAGTCGTAAATTGTTGATGTTGCTGTTGCTCCTGCTGCTTGACTTGTTGTAATGAATATAAAACTGGCTTTTAACTGCCCTGCCCTGCCCTCCACTCTGGCCTTTTATGCATGTACCAAGGTATTGCCAATTCCAGTTCCTGGATTGTTTTATAGCCTCCACCCCTAGGTGGCTTGGTGGCTTTAAGTCAGGCCAAAAGGCCTTCGCCCACTATTGTGCCCAACAAGAAACTTGTTGAGGCACAGTCACAACTCAGCAAGTTGTATGGTCTACATACAGTTTCTTGGCACACCATTCATTGGCTTGTGGATAATTTTTAGGAATCTTTTTTCCCTCTTTCTTATGGCTGGAAATGAATTCGACATTTCACTTTTGTAATTTTTTGCCCCAGTTCCTGTTTGGCGAGTTGGCTCCCATTTGGCTTTTTCCTCACTAAAGCAACCAGTGTTTTGCATGAGATAAGCAGCTTGACCATGGCGGTCTGAAAGTCTGAGGTTCTCCATCCATGGCCCAAGGACAGACTCGTACAGCTCGTCCATTCCAGGCGGCGGCACGTACGAGGACGAGGCGTGCACAGCGAGATGATAATTTCGTTGAATACACAACTCGGCCCCGACTCGCTCTGCATAAGCTCGTAAGGCGGAGTCGGGGTCGGGTGCTCTGGGAGTGCTAAGTGCTGAGCTGATATGCAAAACAGATATAAGAACGGCTCTCGCAAAGGCCAAAACCGAACCCAAGCACACACTTGAATGAATTAAATCAACAAACCTACTTGTAAGAGAAAGACGAAAAATAGCTACAGCAAAAAATTCAACAACTTCTTAGACATGGTGAGAATTTCGCTATGAAAAATGTAACAGAAAAACGATAAACAAGTGGATGCAGCTCGGATAGATAGGATATACTTATCTGGGTTTGATAGGACTTGGTTTAGTCTTGAACAAACATATAAAACTACAACTTGCTCTCATTTGGTTTTCGAGCGATATTTCCGATCTTGGTGGCTAAGACTTATTTACATGCCCATACGACTCGGCAGCTACTAAATTTCCTGCTCCTGACAAAGCATTGTTTGGTATTTGGTTTAATCCATAACAAGTGATCCATAAACTATGTAGAAGTATTAAAGAAAACTAAATTCCAACCTTAGACCGTAAATTCCTCCCAAACATGAAGTGGTTGATCCGGATGATTGTCGTTTTCGCGACATATATGTTTTTAATTTGCCATTTAATTCGTTCGTCACAATTTTAATTTTGCTAAATACCAAATACTGCCCGTGGCAATGTCGTAACCCATTTAATTGAGCCGTGAACGTTGTAAAAATGTATAAACATCAACCGAATTCCTCCCATTTATTCAATCGCCCAAACATGAAGTGGATTGTACTGCAACTTGTCGCCCTCGCTTTCCTGGTGCTGGTCCAATCAATTGAGCAACCGAAAATAGAGCCAAGAGTGATACCGTCAAAAAGGTGCGCCAATCCTCCATTGCACTTGATAGACTATTGCCACAGGCAGGCTTTTCTTTACAAAAAAAAAATGCCTTAGATAAATTACACGAATAAATATATTTAAAAATGTGTGTGTTTTGACCTTTTAATTAATCATTTAATACATTATATACTATATGTATATACTGCTACTGCTTAAATTTTTCATACGTACTCCTAAGTCAGCGACAAGTAGTTTCTTAGAACCATCTCTTTATTGGCCAATCATTATTGCCCATGGAAGAAATACAGCATATCATAGTAGCTACCCCAGAGTAAGGGGCCAACAATGGGCTGAGGGAACGATCAATTAACATTTCGTTGCGTTAGGGCTTAAAGAATTGGCATTAAACCGTGACTGGAAGTAATATGTTTAGTATATCTGCCGGAACCAATTGAAATGTCTCAGTATTGTCAAAAAGCACTCATGCGTGAACGAAGTAAACGTATAAAAGCCAACGGAATTCTTCCCTGCGTATTCAATCGCCCGAAGATGAAGCTGGTGCTGCTGCACCTTTTCGCTTTCCTCACTTTCCTGGTGGGGGCCCAAAAACTGAACTGCAAACCGCCCAAAATTGAGTACTGTAACGCCTGCCAAGATCCCAACATTATATCAGAAACGGCGCTGAAGGAATGCAAGCCCGGCTACCATATAGTGGAAGGGTTCTGCCAGACTCGGCAGTCAAGAAGATCAGGCAGGAGAGTTTGTAAGGACGACGAGCGGAAGACTCCTGATGGAAATTGTCGAAAAAAGATGAGATATTTCAAGCGTTGTCCCCATATCTTGGAACCAAAACGCAACCGTAGAAGACAACAAAATTAAGAGTGATTAAATTAGCATTTGTCTTACAACTACAACCCTATATCGAAATGGCGTCAAAGGAAAACGAATCACAAGGTCACAGCTTACATAAGTATAGAAATATTGGCCTCAACCTTCAAGTATAATTTCAATTTAAATAGACCAAACTGTTCCCAAGATTTTACGTTTTACTGATAGTGTTTTAGAAATTCAGCATAGTTATTGTACATGACTGGTTTTTACCACACAACATTCTTGAGTTGATTTAAATCCATTTGGTGTAGGACTCTTCCAGCTTCCACCCCCCATTCTGGTCACTTGTTTGCCTTCTATTATAGACCCATTGACAGACACTAAGCTGAAAGCATCGAATTAGTCAACTTGATGGGAAATACGAGTATGCTATATACATACGTATGTATGTTATAAAAACGTAATAATATATTGTGTCTCTTTGCCAAAGAAGGCTATAACTTCTGGCTTTAATGCGAGTGGCCAATGCCAGAGGCAAAGGCCAGCATGAATTTGTTTCAAAGTCATTTCGTGGGCGTGTTGTCCGCGCAAGGCAGAGGATGGGGCCCATTCACATATGGGTGTGTGTGTTTGGGACAGGGAATTTCGGTCGGGCCAACGCCTGAATGTCTCAGCATGAAGTGAAATCCTTCTAAATTCCTAGAGGTCTTTTACTAGCAACTGCCAAGAAGGCAGTGAAAGTTTATGCGAAGTCCAGCAGGCAGGTGCAGTTGCAACAGCATCAGCGACAGAAGACACAGAAGGCACATACCGAAAAAAAAGGGAACCAACAACAATCAACGACTTGGCCTGTACACTGACTTCCCGCTGCTGGCTCCTACAGTTGTTGGTATAAACAAGCCAGGAACCCGCGAACGGGGCAGCTCTCCCGAATACACTGCGCGCGCACTCAAACGAAGAGAAGAGAGACACATCCAGAGAATCAGAGAGATTGTGAGAGAGTGAGAAAGATAGAGAGGGGTCGTCTTCCCACAGGACCTGCGGACGCAGCTGGTTGGCATCCTGTCACCGCCGTTGCCCATTAGTATACAAAACGGCAGCGAGTCCATCGTGTATGCCACACAACGGCAACAGGACACAGAGGCACCAATAAAAGGAGCGCTAAAATTCGCGTCAAATGAAGTGAAAAGTGAAAGTTGGCAAAAGTTTTGCAAAAATTTATTCCTCCTTTCCGCAAGGTGGGCCAGGACGGCAGAATTCCAGGCTGCCAGACTGACTGACAGGCCTACGTGGCTTTTCTATGATATTTCACAGCTAGATTGAATTAAGCGCGTTGGCTTCGCGTTCTCTGTCGTAACGAACGTTGGCCATAACGAACTTGCAATGCCACAGCCTTCCGCAATGCGAATCGGGATGACTGCGTGATTAAGTCAACTATTTTAGCATAAACGGAATGTTCATGGCCAAGAAAATGAACTACTGTATGTATCAAGTTTGTGGGTTTAGTAAAATGAATTGAGGCTTGTCCTGGGATGACTCTCTGGGTGTTCAGGGCTAATATTATTGTAGGGATTGGTCACAACAGGCAAAAAAACAATGAGAAATTTTCAAAGTAATATAATTGGGATTCTTTTATTTTGCGCGTTGGATTATTCAAAGAATGAATATTCACAAATTCCTCTGCTGATAATGGATTTTTTGCCATTTAAATTTCCATATTGTTGGTGTCCGAGGGACATGCCACGCCATGTCCGAGTGCCCCTCCTTTCTGGCTGTTGTTCTTCCTCAATGACCAATCATTTGCATTCCCTTTCAGTCTGCGCTGGTGCTTCAATTTTATGTTTATTAACCTCTTTCGGGCCAGCAAATGTTTGTTCAACTTGGGCTAACTTTAACTAAAGTTTTCTCTTTGGTATTTTTGTTCGCATATTTTTTGTAAATTACCCTGATGAAGGAGAAACCGAATTTTGTGCGGCCATGAAATCCGCTGACTTTGATAACAAACTATAAAGCGCACACGAGGATATGCAATTGTGAAACTGTGAAAGTGCAATCAAATAAATTACCCAAAAGAAAAGTACCAGCGGAAAGGTCAACCGTGGAAAATGTGCATACAAAACTGCGACAACATCAAAATCTGCGACACTAACGGCAGCGACCACGACGCCCAAGACAAAGTTGCCGTCGTCGAGGGTGGAGAGAATAACGTCATCCATACATCCGACCTGCAGTACGAGAACTTTAAATTAAAATTGCAATTGCAGTCCGAGCTGAACAGAAAGAGGCAAAAGCCAGTCAAAGGACACAAATTGTCAAACTTTAAGATTCTTATGTGCTGTTGCTACTTCATCATTATAGTCCTGATGATTTGAAGAACTGCAATTAAAACTACATACACTTCTACGTCTAAAAACTACAAGCAGACACAAACTGAATACCACATGAAACAATTATAATAGAATGCTACATACATATATTTTAATCTCGGCCCAACTCTAAAAGCAGGTAAAATACAATGCAATTCTATGCATACAAATATATGTACATATGTACGTTTGTTCTTCTCCGACAAGCACATGAATAGGAACACTCGTACCTATGTATGGTACATATGTATGCACATATTGAATATTACTTTTATCATAATCGCTTGTTGCTATTATCATGCTCTGTGCTGTATATTCCAAGCTAAAATTGTCAGTTGTTCTGTTAATTCGTTTCTCTGTTGCTCTCTGCTCTTTTGTTTATGTCCGATCATGTCCGATCCACGCATTCATTGCTAGAAAAACACCCATGCACCCACATTCTGGTAAGACGACTCACGCTCTCGCGCTCTGTCGCTCTTTGGCTCTCAGGAAAATGCAAAACAAGAAGTAACCAACGGGAATTTGCTTTACTGCGTTGATTGTTTGTTTTTTTTTTTTTTGTATTGGCTGCATAGATTTATACTAAGTAAGTACCCATTACTTATTCAGCTAAGCCGCATTGGGGCTAATTTACTGAGCAAGGTTAACTAAAAATAAATGAGACCCAGCCACCACTTTACCATTAGTTTGTCTGCTTTAGTGCCAATCTGTGCTATTATTTATCCAATTATTTAATTTGCTGTTTTGTGTGGCAGTTCGATTTATTGAAATTAGCGCTAAATTGATTTATGGCACAATATGTTAGCGCCGTCTATGCACGCATTACGCATACGTTCTGGCCTCAGCTTTATTTGTTGTCCTGTTCTCCGCTGATTACTCACACGACGCGTGGCACATTTCATGAAAATTGATTTTACACTGCGACAAAGCTCAAAGTACACTCATGTACATACACACATACATATTTACATGTGGGGCTGAAATGTGTGAGCGTGTTTAAAGATACCCTAGAAGAAGGTATTTCGATTTAGTAAAGTCGCAACTATCCGAACTATCATCACTATATAATGTGTATCAGACGCACGATCGGTCAAACAAAAATTTAAAACATTAGAAAACTCTTGTGTTCAAACAATCTAGTGTATAGGAACTATAGTAGTACCCGTAAGGGTAGCTAAAACATGGACATCTACATAGAAACCAAACAAGCTTTTACTTTGATTTTCAATTCACATTGCTGACCTACATTTCGGACATGTGTGGGCGGGCTCCTATTGTTGTTGGCGCAGTTTCTGGTCAGGCCACAGGTTTGTAAAAAAAATAGGAGAAATATGGCCGGCCGCAGGGCATAATTTATGTGGCATGCAAATGCGTTTACGGCCAAGAAATTCATTAATCCAGCGAGTCGCAAGTGTTTAAATATTTCCCATGAATAATTTAAGGTGCATTTAAATTTTGACGAGCCCCTGAACGGTGTGGCAAATAATTCATTGTGTTTGGCCAAAGAAGAGCACAGCAAATGAAAATGGATTGGTAGAGAGTTGTACGAGTATGCCCATTTAATTGAGTATGCACATGTGCATAGACGTCATATTGGTTATACAGGCATGAAAGCACTCAGAATTCGACAAAACAATAACCCCTAAATTAGCTTCAAGAATACGCACACACGCCCGAACCCATTTTTGGTTTTATGTTTAATGCTCTCCCATATATGTAGTCGTACTCGTGGAACGCCCTCACATGCTGGTCTGCTCGTAAATGCAAAGGAATGGCGGCTGCTCCTTCACCGATATTGTCAGCTTCGAATTTATTTTTATATCATCGGACTTTATGGCTAAAGTTAATATGCAGTTCGCGTGGCCCCTTCAGCACCGGGTTTTTACGCGACTTTAAATCCTTTTTCTCGCGTAGACCAACGCTCTTATGCAAGCCACTCCACCACTTCACAGCCTACCCCAAAAAAATAAAATTCAAAATTCATTGAGTATGTGAAAAACGTGCATTAAATGCTTCCAGAAAAAAACAAAATATAAATTGGGTGACTCAAACTCAAGACCTTATGTTCGATGTCGTATGGCTGACAGGCGATGGCACAGCTGTTCCCACACAGACAAACAAAAAAGAGGAAGGAAAGTGTTGGAAAAATATTTCCAATAAAGCACAGTGTCCACTGGATAAAATTAATGGATAGATAAGATTTTGATAGAATTGTTGGCCAGGAACTTCAGGGATAATCATGAACAGTTTTCCGCGTCCTTATTGTTAATATTAAGCTGAGAAATGTTTGTAATCTCTATAAAGGCACCAGAAAGTAGTATTTCTCTGGCCTAAAATTGAAACTTTGGTGCCACTGTGCAACACGATGCCTCTTTTCATTCAGTTTACACACAGTCGCATATCTATGGATGTGCTTTGCCCTTGTCTGCGTAACTAAACCCTTTATTACCCTTTATATATTTATCTAACCGTACACAGACAATGTTGTATGTATGTATGTATTTACATAGTGTGAGTGGATCCTGTCAATTTGTTGCTGTTGGGGGCTATGGCTATGGCTATGTCTAGCCATTGTGCAATCAAATTGTTTGGTGGGCGTTGCTTTTGGGTTAGCGGCGCTTACGCGTGCATTTACAACAAATTAGATGAGGGATAATGGGTATAAATGCTTTTGGCAAGGTCGTGGAATTGCTTTTGGGGAAATTAGGGTACGTGTATGTGACTAGAATAAGGATACATACCAGTGTATGTATACATATATATATTAGCTAATACGATATATTCCTTTCTTGTCTACTTTCAGCTACGAATCAATCGATTGGTGTCAGTAAAATAATCCATCAGCTACCTAAAACACGTATATGCCATGCCACGTATTGTCATGTATCTATCCAATAGAAGTAGCTGCTATATGTTAACGCAAAATATTTTCACATTGAGCTAAAAAGTATAGTGAGATGGTGTGCGTGTGTGCAAAGTGAATTTTTTCATCATATCCATTGGAAATTCAGTTTTCAATTGTGTGCACGTGCCAGAGCCAGGCAAGTGAAAAGCTTTCAGCAAACCAAACAACACAACGCAACCGGTAACACAATGATAATTACCACAATTCTCCCGCAATGAAAACGAAAAATTGAAAACGGCCTCTTGTGGACAGTCACGGCGAATGGCGCTGTTTATGAAACAATTGCTGAATTAATGTGAGTACTATAGCAGGCACACTGCTCGTATTGATTTTTATTTTATTATTCTTCAATCTTCCACACAAACTGTCTATTATGGCCATAATCATATTAGCCAACAATTTGGTTATCACGTAGTCAAGGCATTTGTAGGTATCTAGACAATAGTTCCAATTATCAACATTGATTGGTTAGCAGGGAAATCCAATTTCTAGACCAACAAATGCATGATGCTTAGAATTGTTGTAATTTAGTTAAGTGAACATTAAACTAATATTCTCACACGTATGCTCCATTGTAATGCTAGAAATCTTAGAATTTCACTAATTTCGTACCACTGGGCGTATGGGTAATGCATTCTCGCTCATGGCGCATACGCCCTGTGCGCCACTCGACCGAAAATGTTTGACAAACAACAATATTAAATGGCAAAGTAAATTTGGGAAATCTGTTGACTGACATGCGACAATTGTCCCAGGGCTGGGCAAACAAAATGTTTCAAAACGGAAAATCATAGTCAGTAAACAGTCAACAGACCCGTGATTGTGACTGGGCTTGTGTGTTGACTTGTGTCCTGTTTGCCCTTTCCTGCCAAACCTTTGTCAATAGGAAATCCAATTTAAAATTTTAAACAAGTCCGGGTAATTGTTTTATGGCACTCGGAGGAGCCACAAACAAATCAGAGCCAGAAAACAACCCAAACTATAATCACAAGATTTATGCGAACCACTCGGCGCACTGAGCGGGCATTATAAAGTCATAAAGAATGTCAGAAAAAAAAGAAACAGACGCTACGCGATGCTCACTCGGCAATTTGGCTTATCGAAAAGCCAATAAATAATAAACCAAAGAGCTCGTTGCACGGTACATGAAAAGTAGATCAAGATTATGAAAGAAGGAAAACTTTTGTTTTTCCTGTTGTTTTTTATTTTGTTTCCTATTTTCCTGTCAAAACCATACATGTGTGTGTCTCACGTGGTGTGTGTATGTGTGTGTGTGGGACATGTTGACACTATTTATGGCATATTTGTTGGGCACATGAAAAATTCATCTAATTGGCAATGTCTGCATATTTGATCACACTAATGGAGGCCTGTCAATTGGGGCCACCAAAACTAAAGGCTTTGGCATCTCCATGGGAGATTCTGTTGCTGACAGCCCTGTGATTAGGGTATCACGAATTATATTGATTTTTTTCGAGTCATTTTAAACTGGTCGGTCGGTCGGCTACTACGGAGAGGTCAGGAGGTCAAGTTTGACAACTTCACGCCAAAACCAATGACATTTACACACAATTTCGTCTGTGGGTAACAAGGTCGAGGTCTTCCACTGCAGATTACTCACCGAAGTATGGCAGGAAGGGTATGCTATGGCGACGAAGACGCAGTCGTAGACAGAGACGAGGACCAGGTTTGGCTTTGTCAGTGAAGTGCGTTAATTAAGTAATTCGCCTGGTCACGCTTACCTCTCCCCTACAGAACGGGACACACCTTAAAAGCGGCCGGTAGGCTACGACTGGGTGAAAATCGATTTGCTTTCACTTTTACCGTTCGTGTCGGAGCCACAAAATAAACGGTCTTCTCCCTGAAAATCGATGCCATTTTTAGTGCGGGACTATTAATTAAATGCTATAAAAATATATAAACAGTGCGGCGATCACATTTTAGATTCCTTAAGCACGAAGTATTTATTTCAAAACGTTTTCTATAGTGCAGAATGTAATTGTAGGTGCATGTTCAACCTATTTATGCAGTTTAATTTTGGCTTGACTTTAGATTTACTGATTATATATTAAAAGGTTTTGATTCAGTACAACATTGATTTTATTTATTAAACATAGTAAGTTCTATAGCTAGGATTCGGGTAAACATAACATCACTAGTTCGAAGGGAAAATCGTCTTCTTTTGAGTTGTCATTAGTAGGCGAATCGGTTCGAAACGCCAATTAAATTTTACGAATTTTGAACAGAATTTTATGAATATTAGAAATTTTGAAGGTGCCTTCGCGCACCGTAGATGGAAATTTGATTATTTATTCTTGTTTTCTTCGGGCTTGTCTTTTTTTTCGTACATGGGATCATAGGGTTGAACGTCAGCGCTTCCGATTACCCAGAAGACGATGGCCGACAATGTCAATATTATGGCAGAAATCCAAAATACAATACGCCATTGAGTATTGTTTTTCTGGATAGGGGAGTAAGTACAGGGTAGAATTTGAGGGTAAAAATACCAGATTTTGAGGGTTTTGTATACATACATCTGGAGTAATAAGTCCAATTATGGGAGGAGCGAATAGGCCTGTAAAGGAGCCGAGACCGTTGATGACAGCCGTTATGGTGCTGGAGTAGCTGGGACTTATATCCAGGGCCGACAACTTCTGGCCAGCATAGTACATGCCCATGGTAAACATGGATATTGTGAACAAGGCGACGACAAGCGCCTTGTTGCAGCCCGCATACGAGGCAGCTATCATGAAGATGCCAGGCAAGACGGCGGCTGCGTAGGGAAGCAATGATATAGGATATACGATGTGGGATGATCCATATACATATAAAGTATGACTTACACAGAAGTGTGAATAGTTTTCGCACGGTGACCAGTTTCAGCTTTTCCTTACGAATAAGCCAGTCAGCCACAAGGCCACTGATTATGGAAGCTATCCACATGGCGATGTAGGGAAGGGCGGTGGCCAGTCCATTGGAGCGTATGGAAAAACGAATTACATCGGCCATGTAGAGGGGCAGATTGGTAACCATCACGTAGTATCCCCAATCGTGGCCCATCTGACTGATGATCAGGCTGAGCATCGGGATGCTGAGCATCAGTGGCTTCCAGGGTATTGCAGGCTTATCCTTATTGACGTTTCCAACTTCGTCGGCCAGATACTCGCGCTCCTTGGGCTTAATGAACGGATGGGAGTACGGGGAACTAGTGCAGATGACGGCCTATGGGAAACAATAATTACTCTGAAATTTACATTTACTTTAATTTACTTGAAATACTTACAAAGATAATAAACCAAATTACTGACAGAGTTCCGAATACATAGAACATGACGGACCAGTGAAAGTGATGCAGGAGCATGCCGGAGCAGGCATTGCTTAATATGATGCCCATTGTACTGCCGCCAAAGCACAGGGTGCCTAGGGTGCCTCTCTCCTTCTTCGGGACCCAAGAGGATAGGAGACCATTCAATCCGGGAAATATCGGACCTTGGGCAATGCCCATCAGCACACGAAGGGTAATCAAAGCGTACGGTCCCCAGGAAATGGATGCGGGGCTGAGGAGTTCACAAATCCCCGTCACCCCCACGCAGAAGGCCACCACCCATTTGGCACCGTACTTATCGGCCAAAACGCCTCCTGGCAAATGGGAGATAAGGTAGCCAAAGTAGAAGCTGCCTAGGATGAAGCCCTTCTCAGTCTCGCTCCACGTGTATATTCCCTTATGCACCACAGCGTCTTTCCCCTCCTCTTCCTGTGGGCAAACGCCTTCTGGCAGCTCGTCGGTAGTATTCTGTTTGGTCTTATTTGATACCGCCAATATAGTGATGGCATGGGACAAGGACACGCGACAGGTGAAGGTGCAGATGAGGCTGAAGAATCCCATCAACACCAGCACAACACGTTGGGGCATCAGGCAGACTGCCCGCCCCATGGGTGTCAGAATACAAATATGCAATAATGTTTTATCTCGCATTGCACTTACCCTTACTAACTGATTTTCCCCATTCTGGTCTGCTGTCCTCTCGGTGATCCATTTCGGGTATTCTCGTGACTTCTCTGAGAAATTTTCAAAATGTAAAAATTATTTGTGTGTTCACATCAATAGATGTATCTGTTGTAATAATTTCCTAACTGCTTGAAATGGAGTTATACTTTGACACCAAAAAAACATCCTACTCGCCCTAATGGATTTCGGGGTTTATATAGAGTTTGAACTGGCTTCTGACGATCATTACCAAATGGGTAACAAATGCGCACCACTGAATAGCTAAAAATAAAAACCAACTAAAGATGTATCTAAGGGGATGTACAGGGGTGCATAAATATGTATATTAAATTCTTCTGTATGTACACATGTAACAGCCAGAAACAGAGCGTAGGATTAATATTTGGAGTGAAGAAAAAAAATGCTCCTGGCTACACTTTTATTTCGGGCTTCCCATTCTCTCTCGCACTCTCTCTTCCTAGTCGGGCAGGATATAGACCGATCTTGCAGTAGTAGTGCTTCCAGAATATTTATTTAATAGATATTTTTCTGCTTAGCCCAAACAAATTTGCCTGAAAAATTTATTTTCGGTTTAAAGTTGAGGAAAGTTAAGAGGTCCTTGAGGTACCAAGGATGTGCTTATTCCCCACGCCCACTCCGCCCCATTGCATTCATCAGTAGTCTGCCTTCGGGGCTCGCCATTTGACCCTGTCGGAGTTGGCAAGGGACGGGGGTGAATACTTTTCTGCTTTCACTTTTCACACGGCAAATGGCATTTTTCGCATTTCCATGACACATTTTCCATTCACCTAGTTTGTGCCACGTTTTTTTATTGCATTCTTCCTGCACTTTCATTTCACTTCACTTGAAATGTTTCCCTTAATTAAAATTGGCTTATGTGCGCCAGCACCTGACCTGCGGTTGGTTTCTTCTTTCCTTTTGGCAAGTCGCAGACATTAGTTGTTAATAAATCACACACCACAGCCACACCTCCCACTCCCGTACCCGGACAACAGCGACAGCGAAAACGCTTACATAATTTGTTAGGCGCGTCCAAGTCCGAGCCACTAAAAGCAATTTGCTGTTGAAGTAAATACGAAACCGTATTTCATGCCAGGGCCCGACAGCGGAGAGACATATGCAAATCACTATACTCGTAGCACTCTGCACTTAAGTATGTTTTGGCATACACATACTCGAACTTCAGCAAAGAAAAAGACAAGAATATATGTACATAATACATACACATACATACTCGTACATATAGATACTTTATGTGACTGTTATAGTTCTCCCGATGAGCTGGTTCCTGTGGCTTAGTTCTCTTAAGATCTCCAAATATATTGGCAGCACTTGAAGCACAATTTATTAATATTGTTTATAAATTTTCCACCAAGTACTCGTTGGTTTATATTACTAACAAAGAAAACCACTAAATGTCCTGAAGATTATGGTAACTGGCAGCTGGTCAGCGTACAGGCCTCTTCGGCACAAGTTTTAAGTTTTCCAATCAGAGTTTTGATATCTGAATTGAAATTGTTTTAGTTAATATTTGAATGTTAGTTATTATATTATATATTTTTTAAACATATTTATCATATCTAATAGTGGATTCCAATAGTCGATGTAGGACTATTATCATATAGATTGAATTTACTTTGTTTTTCATTTCAATTTTGATTTGGCAGCTTTAAAAACTTCAATACAATTAGGTGTGAATATTCTTTGCATCATCGTATCACCAAGTCCGTGGGATGCGAAAGAGAAGACGGAGATTCGGAATCTGAATTCAATTGAAATTAATTGAAGTTCAGAACTCAGAACCAGTTCCACTCAAGCAGTTGTAGGGCTTGCAGTTTTTTTTTCATTGCCCTGCTCGATGCCCACGACCGGAAACGGAAGTGTGCACATTGAAGAATGGCGAAAGGCCGAGGAGCCGACATCTAGAATGGGGTGTATAGGCCAAGCTGAGTTCTTGTCTAAGGGAATTTTTCGCCAACTTGCAGCTCGGCAAAGGAGAGGCCACTTAAATACCTGCAAAAGTTTTTTTCGCGCTTCCGCCGGAAATTGCCAAAGGTGGGACGGAAGAGAGGGGAATATGGCTCTGTGTGTGTGTGTGTATGTGTCGCATATAAAATCCTCCTCAAATGCACAGCGAGACAGTCAGGAAATGCCAAAGAAAACTCATTTTCTTTTGAGACACGCTCGGCACTAAAAAACATTTGAAAGGAAAATGGATGACTAAAAAAGTGAACACAAATAGCAGGAGAATATGGTGGCAGGGCCTTTGCTTGCTGCAAATATTGTTGCACAAGTGCTCGACACTCGTTGAGCTGCACAAACAAACAGTAAGCAAAACAGCAGCAAAAACAGAAAGAGGAACAGAAACAAAAGCAAAGGCAAAGGCAAAGCGAAAGCAAGCTCGTTAAAATTACAAATAGAAGGCAAGTGGCAGGAAAGTACGCTCAAGGACGCGTTGGCGTCTTGCAGCGCCCAGTCAGCCGTGTCCCCACCTAGCCATCCTGCCACCCAGCCACCCAGCCATCCATCCAGCCCTTCCTAATCGCCGCATGTGTGGCATTGTATGGCAGTCATGCAAAGCGTTGAGGCAGGACGAGGCTGCATTTGAACTTATCATGGCATCAAAAACTTGAGCTTCAATTACGAAATGTTGTGCTCCCCGGCTCGTGTCCACGCCCCTGATTCCGCCTCTGCTCTGATCCGACTAAGAGCATATGGGGGGCGGAAAGTGCATGCGTGCTTGCCCCTGAATTAGCCAAAACACAAAGTTTTGTTTTGGCTTTCACCTTTTTGCTGGAGCAGCCACCTGCCTTTGCTCTTATTTGAACTGTTGCACACGGAGGGCTTTAGTTTGAAATGCCTTGGGTTGACATTGGAAGGTCAGACTCCACTTCTGGCTCTGACAGGATCTAGGCAGGAGCGTGGGGAGTGCTCTACCAAGAACAATTTGGTAATCATGTGAGTTTCTGAATGCCACCTGGCCTTGGTCCAAGCACGTGAAAAAGTAAGTTCTCCCATCAGAATTTGCATTTAAATTAAATAAATTTGGGGAAGCTTTCATAAACACAATGAATAAGCGAATAAATATTCTCTACTGCTAAAGTAAGTAGCTCCTCATTGGCTCCTGGCAATGCAACGGACGAACGGATGCCGCCTGCGATTCGCTCAATTAGGCCACGAACCGAAATGAGACCCCAACTTGTCCGAGGAGTAGTCGAGGATTTATGCCGACAAATTATGCACATTTATGCCAGCATAAAAGCGAATGGGAAATGTCCCCGAACCCGAGGCAGAACCAGAGCGAGAACCACTGCCAGATGGATAGCCAGAACGAAGGGCTCCGGTCTGGCTTGGTGGCAAAATCAAGTGCAGCGAGGGCCAAAAAGCACATAATAAACTTATAATGCGTGACGGGATGCGTGTCAGTAAGTGCGGGCCGAGCGGCAGCGGATTCAGGCAGAAGCCATAAGTGGTTGCGCCTCATTTGGCACTCCATGCATCTTTATTTCCGCTGGCTGCTGGCTGCTGGTTGCTGGCCGCTGGCTGCTGGATGGGATGGCTTACACTCGTCCTCGTATCCATGCACCCATAAACACTCTCTTCCACCGAACTGGATTTATGTGCATTGCATTTTTATTCAAATTTAATTGATATTTGTTTGTAGTCATAATAACGATGTCAGTCTTAATTTAATGGCATTGCGTATACGCAACTACGCCGGGTACACACATAAATATATGGCCCCAATAGCTGCCTGCGAGGCAGAGAGGGTCTCCACATGGCCTCCAGTCGGAGTCGGATGGCGTCACACCATGCCGCCGCGGCAGTAGACAATGGCGGCTATAAAATCGCATTAATTTGACCAAATTTGAGAGGCACTTGGTATTGCCAGCCAATATTGATTGCACACTGGATCGAAAGGATTCCACTGGAGTGGGACTTACGACAAAATCACACAAAAAATTGAATAGATTTTGAAAAACAAACTACAGTGAAAACATATGGCCCAAAAAGATATTAATTCCGTATTATTCAAACCATACTCTCAGTGAGCTTAAAGTAGTAAATTTGCACTAGTCACCGAACTAAGATGCAAATTAGGGGACACACATGCTTGCCATAATTGTAGAAATCTAGAAGGATATTTGTGAATACAAGAAATGTTTCGACAAAGTGGGTCTCACAGCAAACGCCAGTCCTAACGATTGCCAAGTTGTGTGCTCTTTCCTGTTGGCTTGGTTAATGAAGATGTAAAATCTGAAAATATTTAAACAGAACCCTCCTTACTCTCCCACTTGGATGTAATTTCATTATTATCGCATGCCCCTTATAAGCAAACGAGTAAACGAGCAAACATTAACAAAAACACACGCACAGAACTGTTGCATGTCGCTGGGGCCGATGTTGCTGGGTGGCGCTGCTGTAGCTGATGTTGTCGATGCCACCACAGATAAGACATGCATTATGGCGATATAACAAATGTGGAGAGTGATGTGGAGAGCGTGTGGGGGCCACTGCGGTTATGGGACGCCACTCGAATGACATAATCGAGGCTGCAGTTTCCGCAATCTCGACAGAACTGGTTCATCCATAGGAGGTAAATGTTGCTGTTGGGGCTGTTGGGGCTGTCAGGCTGCTTCCTGCCGTGCTGACACACGAGTCACAGCTGATGACTGCTGAAAGTACGAGTATTCATGCTGCCGGGCACTTCTCGGCACATTATATAACAAAGTACGGAGCGGAGCGACTTCTACCCGCCTCCATCTATGCGAAAAAAGTTCCTAATTAGGCAGTCGAGTGTGTGAGGGTTTTGTGGGGTGGGGTGGAGTGGGGGAAAATAGGGGAAAAGCTGCAAAGTTTTACGTTGTCGCAGCTAATTGCATTCGGAGTTGCTGCTGGTGTCTGCTGCTGCTGATGATGATGATGATTATAGTGAGAATGATTAAGCTGACGTTGATTAGCTTTTAGTTGGTATCTTTACCCATATTGGAAGAGTTGTGCAAACTTTTTGCCTTTATTTATTGGCCAAAAAGTTCGCCTGCCGCAAGGAAATGAAATGAGTAAAATGTTGAGAATGTGTCTAAAGCTGATAATAATTAGGAGAATATTCTGATAGTACATACGTATATATGTG